GCGAGACCATCACGGGGCCAGGTTTTCCATGCTCCTGCTCGGCACGCCGCCGCAATTTAAATAATGAAACATCCTCCAACTACAGCTGTCCCCACTCTGCATGCATGAGGCTTAATGCTTTATCCCTTTTCACGACCTCCCCGACAGGTGCAGTGTCACTTAACATCGCCATGACGTCTAACGACTTTGCCACCAGCAGTTTACACTGCCCCGTACCCGATGAACATGTACACCGTTCGCTCCACGGCAATTGGGATAGTGCATCAGCATTACTGTGCCATAACCCCTTTCGATAGACCAGCCAGCGTGAAAGCTGGCTGGAGGGCTGGTCTACATGTAGGGAGTCCTGGAGGGCAGCGTGATCCGTGCGGACCACGAAGCCCCTCCCGTAAAGGTAGTGTCTGTACTGTTGCATAAAGTGTACCATGACCAACAGTTTCCTCCATGTTATGCAGTAAAGCTGCTCCGCGGTCGACAGGACGCAACTCCCGTACGCCACCACTCTCTCGACTCTGTTCTTTACTTGACAGGACAGCCCCTATGCCCGTGTCACTCGCATCTGTGTCCAAAATGAACGTCAATACTCAAGGGGAGGCGCGCTGGCAAGGAGTTCGCGTAATGCAACAAACGCGGCCTCCTCCTCCCATCTAAACTTCTGGCCCTTCGCAGTTAAAGCATGGAGGGGTTTTGCAACCATTGCAAATTGTGGGACGAACTGCCGGTAGGACGGAAACCCGACAAAACTGTGCACTTCCCCTACCGACTTGAGATATGGCCAGTTGCGCACATACACCGTTTTGTCGGGGTCCGTCGCTATTCCGGAATCACTCACGATGTGACCCAAATATCGCACCAATGTTTGCAACAAATGGCACTTGGCGGGTTTTAATTTGAGATTAGCCGACCATACCCTAGAAAACACAGAACGCAACTGTTGCAAGTGCTTCCTCAAAAGTGTGGCCAAATACAATGACATTGTCAAGATAAATGAGGCACGAGTCCCACTGCAGGCCTGCTAGAACCAATTCGATTAACCTCTGAAATGTGTCAGGGGCTGAATGCAACCCCATCGGAAGGCAAATAAAGTGGTACAATCCCTGGGGTGTTCGGAATGCTGTTTTCAGCTTGGATGACTCATCCAGGGGAAGTTGCCAAAACCCGACAACAGGTCTAATGTTGAGAAACACCGAGCGCCCGACAACGCATTCAGGGAATCGTCCATTCGTGAAAGCGGGTATGCGTCTGCGACTGAAACTTGATTAAATTTCCGAAAATCGACAGAAAACCGCAGGGTTCCATCGGCCTTCTTTACCAGCAAAATAGGAGCTCCCCAAGGGCTAGTGGAGGGAGAAATAATGTCTGCCGCTAACATTTCCTCCACTGCCTGTGTATATTTTTTTTCCAGCGGGCTCAATCTATATGGGTTTTGTCGAATAGGGGCTGCATTTCCCGTGTCAATATGGTGTTGCAGCAAGGAGGTACGGCTAATGTCAAATTTGCCTTTACTGAGCATGAAATAAAACTCCCGCAGTAGCGATTGCAACTCAAGCCGCTGCACCTGGTACAATTTTTGGTTCTCATCACACAATTTGTTCATCCATTTCTCATCGTCCTCAACTGCCTGCTCTACCACGCCAATAAATGCTTATGCGGAGGAGTCGAAAGCCTCACTACCTGCCGCTGCTGCATGGGCCAGCACCGTTCCTGCCTGAACTACAGCTGGTCCTACACCCACATTAAGGACCTGTAGAAACGGTTCCGGATTCCCCCGCAAAATAGTTTGCGCCCCAGCAGGATCTCTAGAGATTCCCTTACCAGGGCCTGAACTGTGACATTCTCCACTGCACGCTGATGCAGGGAATAAAAAAAAAATACGCGCCGCTCTGACGGCATCTGAACACACTCCTGGTTGGTAAAAAAATTCAGGAGCATATAAAAAAGTCAGTGCCCAAGAGGTAAGGCACCGCCAGCGTCTTTGAGATCAATACTGGTCCTGACATCTCAATTTCCACAATTTTGATGCAGGCCTCTATCTGCCCCACAATTCCCATACTCCCTCCATTAGCCGCCACGCACGCATTTACCACCGGGCATCACACGATTTATCAATGGCAGCGATTCCAAAATTATTTTGGATATAATAGTAGCCGAGGCACCGGTGTCCACCAAGACACGTACTTCCACCCCCTTGATGGACCCGGCTACCGCCGACGGCCCTGCTGCAGCTGTTACCACTCGGCACGCCAGCTTTCTCCACTTTGGGCCTGAATTCGGCCACCCATTTGCCGGCTGCACTTGCCAGTCGCCTGCCATGCCAAGGGGATGAGGGGTGGAGATGCCTGTCGGGGCTGGGCTGTAGTTGTCGACGGGACAGAGGATGTCGGCGAAGCCGACGATGTCCGGGCGTCATTCTGGCACCCCCGCGCGAAGTGTCCGAGCTGCCACAGCGGAAGCAGGTGACTGTGGATCTCCGCAGCGGAGGGATCGCTTCCTCCTGGGATCGCCACTCCCGGGGTCATCGCGATGTCTCCTCTCGCCGCCGGTCCCATCCGCGTACAGCTGCCACCACCCCTCCCACTGGCTCCGGACCTTCCTCCGCTGGCCTCGCGGCAGTCCATGTTGATCGGGCGGCCGTGCCGTCACCTGGCCCAGGTTCCCCAGTCGACGCAGCCACCCGAGATCACTGCCGCATGTTCTATTCTACCTGCAGGCGCCTGGATGATTGTGTGTCCTCCTCGGCCACCGGCAGCACAACACCCATCTTCAATGCCAACCCCATCTTTTCCAGACTGACACCTCGCTGCCGGAGTGCGATGGTGGAGTGGAGTAGGTCCACCTGAGCCGCCAGCTCCCGCCACCCCTCCGTGGCTTGTTGCTGGGGAGGAGCGGCTCCCACCTCCGTCTACGGCGCTGTCCATCCCGCACCCGCGGGGTCGGTCACCGGGACCCCGGTTCCCGGGGCTGCCTGGGGGGTCCCCTGGTTGTCATCCTCATATACATTTTAACTTCTTAGACAATTCTATTTTAGCCACTCCAGCCACCAGATGTAATGTAGCACTCGGAGACGATGTCTTGATGTTTTATATTTATTCAAGTGTCACAGAAGGACGTAGGCTGACTACATGTAGCTACTACACGACGTTCTCTATACAGCTGGTTGACTATATAGGGAGACGTCGATGTAGCCAGCGACGATGACAGCGATGATCGCAGCGACGACGATCCGGACTTGACTCCCCACGGCAGCCCCGAGCCCCGTTCCCCTCTATACTCCTCTGGGCTCAGCTCCCGCCCCTCTCTCGACAATCTCTCTCGCAGCTCTCCTTGCCTGGCTTACTATCTCGGAGCCCTGCCCCCTCCTGTCACTGTAACCATCACCATACCCCATGATCCTGCAATGACGCAATTAATCTCTACTTTATTTCTTTGCTCAATCTCCACGGTGGTTAACCTCGCTAATATTCTGTCAGCAGATGATTAAACCACCTAAATAATTTCACCTCCATAAATTTCTTAATTCATCCAACACAAGTAGATCATGCTTTCTCAAGCACCGTTCCCACATTATGGACAACACTGGCAAGCTACTCTACACATCCCTTGTTATTTTATATTGTTATTATATTTGCTAATTGTCATCCGCCTAAGTATCCTTTCACCACTTTCTTTTAAAATACACTTATTGTAAACAATGCGCAAACAAGCTGCAACCTCACTTTGATCCCATCATCACCCTGGGTAAGTGAAATAGGCACAATTTAGTGAGTACAATACTCAATGATGGTTGTTTGAAGGAAGGTGTGAAACCAGCCAAACACCCTCTGCAAGTCCAGATTACATAAATTCCACACCGGCCTTCAAAGCAACAACAGCATAGGAAGACAATCAAAGTAAACCATAATGCAATTACAGAATTAACAATGATACTGTGAGGCTCGACATCCACCCCGTCGACCTCACGGGGAGGGTGGGATGCCACCCTCTCCTCTTCCCTCTCATCCACCTCGTCAGACCACGCCTGTCGCCCAGGTAACTGGCGCCTCCATTAACATCGTCTTGAAAAAACATGTTGGTTGACTGAGGCTGTCCGGGATGAGCGCGCATCGCACCACACCCCGACGTACGTCACACACACTACTCGATGGTGTCCAAGCACACTCCCACACCTAGCTAATCACAGCACTACCCTCCGTCTCATGGTTCTTATGTCCTCGCAGCAAAGGCTTGGACCTGTGATCTCTGCACAGCCAATCGTGCGCTTACTTGTGCCTGTAAATCATTCCTGCCTCCCATTGGGCTCCTTCCCCTGCCCTTTCACTCCGCCCTCACCCAGCGCTGGGAATGTATAACTCACCATGGGGGACTGGCAATTATTTGTGATAATATACTTTGACACGGTTGCCTTCGGTGACCTCCCCCCTCTTTCCTCCTGAAGACGATCGCTTGTGTTGTGATCGAAACGTCGTGGTTTTTTGTTTATGTTTATTTTATTTTTATTACCGAAAGAACCAAGAATAAGTCTACATTATAGACTGCCAGTACGCTCACTGAGGTTAAGAACCAGGCTACAGTCTACATTATAGACTGCCAGTACACTCACCCAGCTTAATAACCATTGCTACAGGCTACATTATAGACTGCCAGTACACGCACTCCGATTAAGAACCAGGCTACAGTCTACACGAGTGGTTTTTAAAATTATTTTTTTACTTTATTTTTTGTTATTATTTTTCTATCTACGTGACTTTACCGAAAGAACCAAATAATGAATTCCTGCATTCACGAAAGTTTTAAGTTAAAATGTAACACACTAAGGAGTCCGATTCCACCTGCGCCCACTGTTAATTATTACCTTGAGCTCAAGCAAATTCCCAGATGGTCAGGAAGCCTTTTATCATTGTCTGCAATGGCATGGATTAAAACCTGCTCAGCCAAGTGACCTCAACAGGACCTATTGTGTGGGTGCGTCCAACCGATAATGGGGGGGGGGGGGGGGAAACAAGGGTTGGGGGGGGGTGCAATGGCCATCTGTAGGATGATGTCATATGTATTGTGGGGTGTGTATTTCATCATGGGGAAAGGAGGGGGAGAGGTGGGGGTTTGGGGGGATGCAGCCGCGGGGGGATGTCGCCAAGCTGGGCGCCAGCTGATTAGCGGCGTCTCCCGTGGGCCACAATGCGTTTTATAATCAACAACAAAATTTATTAAACCAAGGTTAACAGTTAGAAAACAACTGAATAATCATTCACAGGCAATGCAAAAGTCACATGGAATGGTGCACTTATAATTAACAAGTTTTCGCAGGCGCTTGTAATCCAAGGGCGATTTTTACCCTTGGATTGGGCCACGCACTACTGCGGGGATCTTTAAAAAGTCGAATCGGGTATTCTTTTAACTACTGACATCTGCATGAGTTGTGTGACGAGAGCTAGAGGTGCACCTTGAATGTAACAATGAATAATTTAAGTTGTTATTTTCGTATGCTTTTAGGAAAATACAATTCAGCACTACTAAGGAGGAAATAGTTTTTTTTTTTCCTGAATGTTTTTATATTTAAAAAAACCTTACCAGCAAGCGGCTTTCTTAGGTAAGGTATTGTCGAAGAGAGAAAACAAACTTTATAGCTCTGTCACTTCGTAATCTGGAATTCAGTTTTATATTTCAAACCTTACTGAAACTAAATCGGCTACATTGTAATATTATTTTTCCTATTCCACTCCTAGATAAAACCTGGGTTTAAACAAAATAAACATTTAATATATTAATTGCCCATTGCAGCACCGATTCCCCATTATAAAGGCGTGACATGAAGCGTCTTGTTCCATTTTCATCACTTCGTTGATAGATAATGCTGAAAAGAGATCACAAAACTACTCTTGCTATCTCAAAAGATCTTATCACCAAAAAAAACTGAAGACTGCTGCTTCCTTCATACTGTACACATGCTATGTAAGTGGTCCACCACTTGACGATCATTGGATACAAATTTATACCAAATTCAGCTCTCATAAGCTGGCTTAGGATAAATCAATAGAACCCATTGAAATCAAACTTCTGCGTTGTTATAACTTCTGCGTCGCACCTCCGATTAGCATGGTTGGATTTGTACAGTGCGAAAGAAGTTCAGCATACATACATACATAAGTTCGCTAAAACTTATTTGGTCACAGATGTCTGTCAAGATTTAAACTCAGGATCTCCTTAGAAGTGGACACACAATGCCTCTTTTCCAGTACCGCACAACCACTCCATAGCCATGGTTAACGATTTGCATCTCGGTAGTCGAGTCTTGCCCAGGCAGAAACTTAACTTTTCCTGTGACTCTCCCCGCCACTTCCTGTGTTGGCTCCTTTTGGACTCCTTTACCGAGTTTCTTTTTTCTAAAAGCAGACAAAAAAGATGCAACACATCACTGTTTCTGAAACAATCTGGAGGATATTGGCTACTGCACGTTCTTATAATCATCGGAATTGTGCCGAGGCAACCTTTCAATCCAGTGGCGTGGAAGTCAGATGGATAGATGCATCATGTAGGAATAAATATGCTGGATAAAATCTTCTATCAAGAGCCACAATGTGAATTACCCAAAAGATGTCCTTTTTTAGCGTAACATTTTAGCGTAACGTTGAGGACAAATGTTGTGAGCAAGAATCTATTGCGACCAACTCCAGCACATGAGGGTGTGATTATTGCCAACAGAACACATGCTCAGCTACCTTTGTCTCCCTAGGGCCCATGTTGGCCTCATCAAAAGCAAGGTTCTGGCTACAGCCACACGGATTGTTACTAAATTTTGAAGCTAAGAGGGATACTGCAAGAACAATGCCTTTTTTTCCCTCAAGAACTGTTTATTGAACTGATTAAAAATGTTGGATTCTAATTCTTGGAAAGATTAAAGAAACATTTGTCAGATGGAAAACTCCCTCATTAAACACAAAACCAGAGCACACACAAGCTGGAGAATATCAAAGGCCACTACACAATTGGGGAGGACCATGCTGCCCCATCCACCATAGAGCCCAGATCCAGTACCATCAGGTTTCCAGCTATTTGAAACATGAAGATTACCTGTGTGGTCAACATTCTGAAAATGGCACTGCTGTATAGGATGCTGTTTGCAAATGATCACGAGACTTTGATCAACCCCCTTAGTGTGTTGGAATGCTGATCCTTATTAAATATTGGTGCGAGTGCAGAGAACTATAATGGAAACCAAGTTGAAACGTAGACATGTTCTAGACATTCTTATGAATACATCTCTAACATTTAGTATCAGTTAAATACAAGGTTCAAAGAGAGAAAAAATGGGAGACATTACTTCTGGAGTATCTCACATAATCCATGCAAACTGTTTTAAGTACATTACTGGGCCCAGTTATGACAAGTGTGGAGAAGTGCTAATACCCAAAGTGTAATTACAAGAGAGGCATCTGCATAACGAGACAACTCTCCCATTACTACTTTAGCCAAGATACATGCCTGCAGGTTTTGTTGGTGCTGGTGTTTGTGGCAGTGCTTCCTGACGAAGTCTTCCTTTGAGAAGAAACTGGAGCACAGTTTGCAATAGAAGCCCGACAGCATGAATTCCACTCCTACAAAAAAAAGTGGCAGGGGGCAGCCATTAGTGAGGGGGTTCATTAGACTCAGTGTCGGTTAACCTATGTAGTAGCATAAGTGCTGGCTGTTGCCGAAAAAGGGGATCTGCGGTGTATGGCGGTACTGACGTCAGCAGGCCATGATATACACGAGAGGGGGATCTAGGGGAAAGGTCACAGAAGGGGCCAATCGGGAAGTCTCGGGAACTCACTAGTAGGTTTCAGAAAGGGGGCGTGGCCGGGGCGGAGCGAGGCCACGCTGAGAGTATGAGGGGCCCCTGTAGGAGACCTCGTGGCTGTTGCTGAAAGAAGGATCCCCGTCGTGCTGCTCAAATCCATCGTCACCATTCTTCTCGTCGTCGTCACCATTCTTCTCGTCGTCGTCGTCTCCATCCTCACCATCCCGGGGCGCCGCTAGTCAGAGCCTACCAACTGTTCTAAGTAGTGGCACCGAAAATAGGCGGTCTTAATAAGTGTTATCCTGATGGTGCTTGCTAACTAAATAAGTGCCTCCAAGTCTTACTGTTTCCGAGTTCGTCACTACACCTGTTTAAGGATGGTGCGAGCACTCTCAGGAACCGAGCACCTTCATTCATCAACACAATATGCACTGGGAGATATTCCACCCAACTGCTGCTTATCTGCAGTGCAGCTATGCTGGGCTGTAGGTCCTTAAGCGAGTGGTCTTGTGAGGCCCCACTTGTTCAGCAAAGACACTATGTTATAAAATTTTGGTTACTAAGTGAATGTTTTTTAGGAACGATACTCACCAATGGGGTCTCTATTCAGGGGAGGGGGTGTGTCTTTTGCCTGAATTTTGGCTTTCTTGGAAACTGGCTTCTCATTTTTACCTTGTTCAGCATCTGGAACAAGATGGGGTAGGTTGTTACATCTGGAAGCACGTCTTTTGTGATGACTGCACGAGGCAATCCTTTTAATACAAGCCAACAACACCACATTCACTCCAGTGCAGAAAGTTTAGTTCACATCGACGAGAACCCCGGTTCAAATTTAACATATAAAGATGGGATTTTTGTGCAGTCATTCGTGCGAGGTTCTGAGACCACCAATGTTGGCAAACATAATTCACGGATGGCTGCCGTGGTGGCTGACGGTTTAATTCATTGGTGCCTGCCCAGAGTTTAACCCAGGCTCTCAACAATGCTTTCCCACTGTGCTGAGATAGTCATTAGCTTCCTCAGTCACCCTGGCAACCGTATGGACGTGTTCACTGGTTCGCCTACCCGATACAAGGGTTGGACGTGCTTTCCTCCAAGCCTCACCTCCACGTTTCTCACCCCGGGCCGCACCACGAATAGAATCCCGTTTCATCATCAGCTTGTTCTCCTTGGGTGCCAGTGCATCATTGCTCGTTTCTGTGGAATATCATCATCGTCCAAGATCAATTCACTCCTGGATGAAGGTGTTTTCCAAGCCGTTGCCATCTCTGAAGGATTCTGTAAGGTAATACTCCACCCTAGAACCTGAACACGAACTGATTTAATCGCTCCATCTCATCGGTGGATGCACCCTCAGATGCGTTCTACTTCTTCGACGACAATTATTCTGAACCTCTGGCCCATCATCCCTTCTGGCTACACGTACCTCCCAAGCCCACTTTTGCTTGAGAGTTTGGATTATATCTGTAACCTGCGTATGTTTTTCTCAATAAATGTGCTCCTCTTTCTGCCTCTCAATGTTATTCCAAGCGTGCATCCTGTCCCTGTTTTTGTGCACTTTTCAGTGTTTCTTCTACTGTTGATGTTAACGGGCACGTTTCATGTCATGGCAAGTAGATACACCCTGATTAAATAAATCTTCTTACAGGCTCATTGCTGTTTCTTTTCATCGTCAAGTTAAGATTTCCCAAAGTACAACCAAATCTGCTATGGTACCTTTCTTAATTTCGATTATTTCGATTCCAGTCCACCTACAACGGTCCTAGTTTAACCCTAACTCTGCTGTATCCATTTTTGTCCCTATGACAGAAACCTTTAAATTTCTAAGTAAACTTGCCATACATGACAATAAAAATGGGAAATACACACATAGTTAAAACATTTTTCTAAAGCTCATCCTGGGACTGCATACAAGAAGTCACCCTCCAGAAATCTTGAAGTGGAGTAACAAAGCAATAGTACAAGTGTATCCCTATGACAGAAACCTTTACATTTCTAAGTAAACTTGCTGTACATGATAATAAAAATGGGAAATACACATTGTTAAAAAAAATTCTGAAGCTCATCCTGGGACTGCATACAAGGAGTCACCCTCTAGAAATCTTGAAGTGGAGTAACAAAGCAATAGTACAAGTCTTCTTTGCTGCATCATTGAATGATTAAGCGTCTGCAGGTTCAACAAAAGACCAAATTGACTTATTTGATCAAACACAGCAACTCTGCAGATGAGGTTTAGGAAGTTTATCTCGTCTTTGGAGTTTCCAATTAATCCTGATAATCTTCTACATGGCAGCTTAGCCCAGGCAGCTCGTAAACACCCAGAGCTCAAGAACAAAGGATTTGAAGGTCCAGTATGCGGTTTTCTAATTTCTTTTAAGATAAAAAATGAGAGGATCCCTCCCCTGCGCAAAGGGTGAATGCACTGTGCAACCTGGAATTAGCCAATTATCAGAATGCAAGACCCTCCTGAAGAGCTGCCTTGAGACTAAATTAGTATTTCACGGATCAATACATTTACATCATTTTATTAAGCCTACGATTTTGTCACGGACATGAATCCTTGTAAAAAGGTTTCAGTTTTGTTGCCAGTAAAAAGGGGAAAAACCCTATTATTACATTTGGTACTGGCAAAGGAGGTCTAATGACGGTAATTTTTGTTTTGAATTTCACAGCTGAAATGCAGGAAAACCCCCCCAATAATTCACAGAAAGAACAATGAACAAGATGGAGTGGTGCACCCTTCCCCCCGCACCACCCACGTGTGCATATCTCTGTATCCGAGGCTGTATCTCCGCGTCTGTGTATATGCATGTCTCTGTATGTATCTCCATAACTTTGTGTCTCCGTTTCTCTGCGTGTACATCTCCAAGTCTCTGTCTGTGCATCTGTCTGACTCCCTCTGTGTACCTCCACAAGCCGATTTGCTCATGGTTGCCAGCACTGTTCGATTTCCCCATAGTGCAACCTTGGAAGTGCCTAAGCTGAAGTGTGTTGCAACAGCCGTTTCCAAGACTTCCCAGACTTAATTATTCAAATTAATGATTTTCGTGACATCCATGACAAAATCGTTGCCTTAATTATAAGCACAGTGAGAGCTTGCAGTTTAAAAAAATCTTCACATTTTTCCTCAATCACTTGACATAAAACACAGAATAATAACTATTATTCTCCAAGGAAACTATCAGCATGAGCGAGCACAGGAGGAAGCATTTTCATAATAAAAAAACGTCTGGATGCAAAACGTACTGGGTCTGAACATCAATCATGAGAAATCTTAAAGCAGGTCACACCTCCGAGTGCCTTGGCTGTGGGCCCTTTCTGCAAGCTATGAACGGCGCTCTCTCGTGTCAGACACCCGTGCGACCGCTGTCTTTCCACTTCCTCCGCTGTCTTCATCTCTCCACCCAGCACATCGTCGTCTCCCTCCTTGTTCGTCGAGGCAGACGTGGTCGTCACCCTTGCATCTCCCCGGTCGCCGGCGTGCCCGTCTCCCGGAGCTCTGCTCGTTGCGTGTCGGGGCTTGACGATCACCACCTTCCCCGGATGCCTGTCCCGAGACTCTGCTCCTGCCACCTTCAACGATGATGTTTCGGGTGAATACACCCTTCTTCGTATGTATTTCTATTCTCCTTATGTCTCTATTTTATATTTATGTATGTAATTATCCTTTACTTAACCGGGTGATGAAATGTAAGCCCACTGAGACTTATGTAACATCGCCTCATTTTAAAGGGCAACGATCTGGGTTTAAAAAAAAAAACCATTTGCACGTAACAAATCTACACCATGTTTTACATTCATTTAATAAACATTTGAATAAGACTAAATCAATGAGGTGCATCAAACGCTAAAAAGTTAAATATACATCAAAATTTAAATTCTGGAAAGTGGATAGATTAAACAAGTAGAGGCAAAAGAAGAGCAGGGATATTGCATATTCTGTCTATGTCTCATGTAAGCACCTCAGATTAGCATGGTTGGCTACATACGGTGCCAAAGAAGTTCAACATACATACAAGCATTGTACATATTTCAGTAACAGGCTGAAGTAATAAGACACTTCCCCAATGCACAGATGCATCACCATCAATCACAACCGACTTGAAAACAATTCTTGATTGGGGTGACAAAAACCTGGTCACGTTAAACTGAACAACCTAGTCAACGATATCACGTACGACTGGCAAGTCCATAGTTCCTTCCATTATATTTAACACTGATATACTTTTATCCACTGTGTAAACCTTGTGGGTACAACAACCTCAGCCAACATGTCATAGAATAGCTGTATAACCAATCTGACTAAGAAGGCATCAAGAAGCTAGGTTTTCTTTTCCCTGCCAATGCCTAATTGGGCTGCTGGAATCCTGCCGCTGTCATACCTGGGATGAAGCATACAATTCTTACTTGGAATTAAGCCGCAAAAGTAAGAAAAATTAAGCCTCGATACAAAATTTCGGGTAATCGTATTTTTTTGAAAAAAAATGTGGCATCACTTGTAGTCACATCACTAAAATTACATCACAGGACCGTGACACAACTAAAATCACATTATGTCCATGCTCTTACTGCCAAAAGTCTTGTCAGGTGGCATCGGGTGACATCACTTTTGTAAAGACAAAGACACGCTACAATGATACACAATGTACAAGATCCAAAAAGGCTGTGAAATTGTCTTTGAAAATCACTTTTTAAAAAAACCTTCAAGTCATCCCTAAAACCGAACATTATGGGCAACTGTGCCATTTTCTTCACCAAAAACAGAACATTTTATTTGTACTTCCACCCGTGTTTCAAATGAAACCCCCACCTGGACTCCCCCAAGATGGGCGAGCAACGCGTCACGTTGGAGAACGACACAACACCACTGGAGGTGGTTGTTCAAATAAGAACAAAAGATCACTTTAAATAATAAACATGATTTCCCAATTACATCCATATTATGTCAGTCATATCAATCAAGTGAGTGTTGAGGTGGTGCTAATATCCTGTTTGCAGCCCCAAAGCGAGTTGTGGAAAGAGGTGAGTCTCTACATAAAACTACTCTGTGTATTCATTTTATTTACCCCGGGAGGAATGACGGTCTGGGTCAACCATAAACCTTCCAATTGCGAGCCACTCGCTCTACCACTGAGCCATGTGGCCGGTTATGTCATGAAGTTAATGTCAATTCAAGATTTGAAGCTTTCGTGACTGCAAGGATCCATACTCTTTGGTTCTATTCGGTAAAGTAACGTAAAAAACAAAAAATAAAATAAAAATAAAAGAGAATAGAACCAAAGAGTAAGTTAATGTCATTCCAGATCTCCTACACAAAAGCAGAGCCTCAAGCTAACAACATCCAAGAATGGCTCTGCAAAATTTTCCACATAAGTGATTACGATGATGATTTTTTTTTTCTCCAGCCAACTCCATACAGTGCTCATTCGTTTGTGGTTGTCAACCTTTTTGCCATGTCATAAATCCAATAATTAAAAATTATATTCAATGTACAAATATATTCTTCAACCATCCGAAAGCATTACTTTTTCGAAGATATTGATGCACATGCTTAAGATGATCAATTAGCTAATTGAGAATATTTTTTTTTATCTGGAAATGAACCAAAGACCTCAGCGATGTGCCAGCTCAGATGTTTAGCAGAGGCATTAATCCCCAAGTGACATGGCCATCTCAAAACACAAATAGAAGTTGTGATCTTCATTTCGGGTAACAAAGGTTGTTCAAGATTAACCTGCACACGTTTGTTATTATTATTAAATGTAAAATACAGACGTCTGAATGTCGGTGCAAAGGTGATGGGCTACATATGTCAATTCCCGTGTAAAATTACATTACAGATGATCCAAGCAGTCTGGGTATTTTGAATAAGGCAGAAAAGTGTATTGTGTTGTGGAAAATCAGCATTGTGCAATGACGTTTCTTATGAAATGGGAAATCGTGGTACAAAAGGTTTGCAAATGCACAAGATACAAGTGATGGATGATGAATATGCTCGCATGCTGCGATTTCTGCAATGACTAGCCATGTTAACGTTGGTCCTGGAACAATCTCTGCAGCAAATGTGCACGATGCATGAGTATTGTTGAGATGGGTGGTTGATGTCACTGAACTTGTTCTGCGTGACACAAGGTTCAGAGTACACGTGGGAGAGAAGACAAGTGCTTGGAGGAGGCAAATGAACGGCCTGCTGCTGCGGGGCTCCATGCTTGCGCCAACCTTGTTTAGAGTCTATGCAGACATCTGCTGCAGAGAACGGGGTCCAGACGTTTCTTGAACTGGACAAAATGCTAAATGATGTCAAACAGGCGATTTGCGAAATGCGACGTCTTCAGCCGGGTGTTACCAGGACGTTGTTGAGCGTGTTCCACTTTCACACCGCCAGTGCTGCCCACGATATTAACGTGTGCCTCAACGGGCAGAGGCCAAGACACAACCTGCACTCAGTCTACCATGGTGTAACTACGGATCCGACACATAGCTGCCACGATCATCTCGAGAAGACAGCCACGGGGAAAGTGAAGACCCGTATTAACTTCCCTGGCTATTTTACTGACTCGTAAGGGAGGCCAGCGCTCCAACTCCACGGACGTCGGCATTCGCAGTCTTGTACTCGACGGCAAAACACCGTGCGCGCCCGTCTGGGATCGGATGTCGTGTACCGAGCTCGTTGATCCGCAGTCACGTTCGACAATGCGCTTCATCTCAAGAACTCTTCCGACAGACTTCCCTCCCTGTTTAGTTGCCAGTTATGAGCAACACTACCCCTCCACACGTCCGCCAGGAGCCTGCCGCTGGCAAGATGCGCGCTAACCCAAGTGCTGCTGCTGCTGCACGTCGATCTCTTTAGCCCGCCCGCCCGCCCGCCCTCTACTTTTCTGTCATCACGGCACCCGCCGTGGATCAACGTGCCATGCTAGGATGCGTCACATTCTGAAAATGATGAAGCCTGGCTCGGCACAAACGCATGCGCTAAACGAATAACTCAATCAAAAGCATCAGTCTGTTGCACCTTAAAATCAATAAGAATGCCATATGTATGTCGAACTTCTTTCATACCGTACGTAGCCAACTGTGCTAATCGGAGGAATGACAAAAAACAAAATGAAAAAAACCTGTTCTAAATAAATTAGTTTGAATTTTACATTTAATAATGCATAGGTGGGTTCCAAACGACATAAAAGCAAATGTCCAGAAATCAATGTGGATGTGGCTTAAATGATGACGCTATTATAACACCAATGGGACAACCGCATACGTGTAGCAATAGAGTAACTTGAAATGTGGTTGCATTTAGATCCAGGTGTAAATATAAATCATATTGTGCAAATAGGATATGTTTTAACAGTGCCACTTTCAAATGTTCTAGAACAAAAATGCAGGTTAAGGTTGAAGGACCCTCATCATATAGTGAATATTTTTGTGATATAAAGAATGTGTAAGGCAACAATTGCTCACAAGAGACTGGTTTTTGAGTTTATTCTGGAAATAACCCAAAGACAAGGCACTTCCAACCAATGGTTCCATTAGTGCTTGTCTCCTGACAGATGAAGGCAGAGCCACACACACCCTTACAGGGACCCGAAGGCTTGGGCCAGTAAATATACCCAATGTTTCATCTTCACGTGGATGCAGGATTCTGCGGAGATGCCCCATGCGCAGTGGGAAGCCGTTACCAAGTTCACTTAAACTCACGCACGACAGCCCAATGAGTCGAGGCTAACCAAGAGTCAGGTTGAAAGTGAAACGCGATGGCATTCATTCCACATAAAAACGTATGCATGCATCCTTCCACCTTATGAGTCAAACTGCAACTGGTCACAGAGCTCTTGTTAAAACTCTTACGAGGAAAAAGATAGCAACAAGACTTTTCCTCATCTTTTCATATTAAACGAATCCAGTGTTTGACCTTGTTGTCTGTACTGGGTTAACCCAGCTGGTTTCCTGTTTCAAAAAGACTTATGCTATGCAACCACACTCATGTGAGTGATCCCTGGGACACAGGTGATAGTTTGAATAATATTTGGCAAAATGTATTATTTTTCTTTCATCACAGCTTCAAGTGACAAGGTGAAATTTACATTCAGAACTCCATAGCAAGCAGTACATCGACCTGTGTCACAGAAGGCATATTTATCTGCGCCAGGGGCACATTTTACATGCCCAATTAAAAACATTAATCACATGTTAAATTTAACTTTTACAACCCCTCAAATCTGGGAAAAATGGAAAGTAAATTAAAAACTAAATTTAAGTGTTGTTGTTAAGTTATTGGTGAGAGGGAGGGCTAAGGCCTAACAACCCACCCGTGGTTTAATCACAGGTGGCTGAAACCTGGATTTGAACTCAGGACTCAAGTGGTACTGACTCAGTGTTCTAACCCATTTGATGCAATCCACTCCACTTTAATTCTCTATTCCACGTGCACATACTAACTCGATACCAAATGAAAATTTGAGGGCAGAGAAGTACTCACGGTTTTGACGACAAGCTGAGGCTCGACATCTGAAGGCTTTGAAGGAGTGCCGACGGGCGCAGTCTTAGATGCTGGAATTAAATAAATCTCCATGTTAGAAATAAAGACGCATGCGCAACATCGCCGACGACACAAAAACAATGGCTACCATTTGAAACTAAGTGGCAGTGATTGTGTCTCCATGGCATCTGCGCCAGGTTAGGTGGAATGGTGACAGCTAATTAGTGGAGAAATCCCATGAGCTATGAAGCTCTTTTTCACAAATGTCCAGTAGGGGTGGGTCAGCAAGTTACACTACCCTATACGCAACCCACAATGTAGTCCCCCACAGCCTTTAATCCCTGTTTTATGCATGGTGGTCAACCTGCCAAGCATTATCAAGGCTCAAATCGGCTTGGCTTCTGAAATCTGATGTGATCAGGCACATTCCAGGTGATATGGTCATAGGCAGATCATTGCAGCTGAGGTAGTGTTTGATATCTGCAAGCAAAAAAGTTACCTAAGCGTGCAGTTAAAAGTTAGTACTCATTACTTATGTTCTGTTCAGAAAAAAAAGTCTATTACTGATCTGAAGACCATAGATATTTCGTGTTACTGATTCAGGGCTTGGGTCAAGACAGTGGAAACCTCAGTAGAAGTGTGGACATGATAAAAAAATACATAGAGTGAAAGAAATTTCTCACTTGTAGCCGTGTCAGATCCGCCAGAGAATGGGCTGATCAGCAGAGTATTCTTTTGGAAACAAGTACCTTGAGTGGCCTAAAAAACACAACAGCAAAAACATTTTTCAATACAGCAAATGTCAAAAGGCATTCATAATGAGTATTTATTGTAAGTTTAACACGTAGGCTTTCGCGACCAATATCATCAATAAGAGGTTTTTTGGGTTAGATCGCGTCAGAATTAGAGTGATGATGGATTTCTTGTAAGGCTAATAAAGCCTTGGTGAGTCCCATCACTCTCTTTCTGGCAGGGCTTGCTTGTGATGGTGGGGCAATCAATTTGTACTTTTTGCATGTGGCTGGGATAATGGTTTCAGCACACGAATTTTAATTGACATTTTCAAGTTTCAAACCCTGGTTAGGTCAACTTCATCCATCTGGACTTAATTAAACGAGTGCCACTTTGTGGCACCTGTACTGTAAACCAAATACTTGCAAAGAAAAACGGACATTGTTGGAAAGAGTTACAGATTCCATGTTTGTGCACGATTTCTCCTCCTTGTTTTTATATATGTGTAAAGTTGTTCCAGCCACGTGAGTCTCGAACTTCATCTTAATTCCATCTTCCGCACAGCGCGTCACATCAGGGAATTACTCCGTTCAGGCGCCTTGAACTCTGTTCAGGCGCCTTGAACTCCCTTCTATTCCTCAATTTCTTCTCTTCTCCAATCCTTTCCCGAACTTTCCTTGACTCTCTACCAATTGCATTAACTTCCCCCCCCAACGGTCTCCCAATTGACCCGTCATTTCAATTTAGTTTTCCCCGATGACAATCTGGTTTGAATGTTCTCCACCTTCAAAATCTATTGCGTGGAATTGTGGATTAGCACCCATTGACTCGGGGCTGCCAACATAAGACGAGCATCGCCCCATTGCTCACGCATGAATGGGAGACGAGGCAAGTAACCGTTAAACCCAATGTGCGCTTGCAATCATTCACTGGACCTGGTACGATTTGGGATTCTAACGCATTGCAAGTACTTAGGTTTCGTTTGTAACGTCTGTGAATGTGCTCTGTCTAGTCCCGAATTATTTTTACCATTGGGCCAAGGGTAACATTTGAATGGACTGCACACACATTGTAAAGGACTAATGCATGTAAAACTCGATGCATGTGTTGTGAGGACGTTCATAATTTTTTTAATGACATGTTTAATGAAACACTTTGACTTTAAATGAGACCGAAACGCCAACATAACCATTACCTTTTCCACCTTTATCTCCTTCACAAATCAACCCACAAAGACCAATGCTTGGAGGGTTCTTGAAAACAGACTCCAGTATTAAATCCACACCGAACGTTAAAAGATTGGCATTAAAACGCCAAAGAATACCAAAGCATGGCGTTACATACACAACTACATGGAACAGAAGATGGTGAAAATAAATATCCGGAACAAAACGGGTGACGATGAGGAGCCGTGAAGCTGGTACAAGACAGGAACAGGTGGAGAGATTTTTTTAAATCTAGACGCCCACCAATGTGTTTCTGAATAAAAAAAATGGGTGCACAGGTTCATGCTACATAAATACCTTTTCTGAGGGAGATGTGCCTCTTGCCAAGGAGGGGGATGGCTCACAATTGGCAGGCAAACTATCAACGCCAGGTGTTCCAGCAGATTTCAGAGATTTTGCGCCCAGCGTATCTGTATCCGACGTCTTCACATCAGCTGTTTGAACAGACTCCATAGATGCAGTGGCAGGTCCTTCCGGTTGTAAAATGTTCCCACCCTCAGTAGGTACAGGCGCTGCGTCTTTGGCAGGCAGTGCATCTGGCTGTGATGTCTTGATTTTGGCTGCTTCAGCAGATTTTATAGTTGCTGCCACAACATTCTGAGGACAAATGCCTTTTCTGCGTCGTTTTGAAATGCCCATAAAATAACACAACAGAAGATATCACACTATAAGAATACAAATAGAGAAAGGGGTCAGCAATTTTAAATATACCATGGTGTTATTAAAAAACGAGTTGGCACAGCGTGCTGGGGTCATAGTCTAATTTTGCCAAGTTAGAATATTCTCAAATTGCTTAATTGGGTGAAACCAGACAGCAACGTCACCCCCTACTGGCAGACTATATCTATCTGTGAAATACAGAGCCGTCATGATAGCCTTGTCGCTATAAGAATGGCGCAGTATCCAAATTAACAAAATTATTATCAAACCTTCATACGACATGATGTCAAATTAGGTGTTAAGTGTTGTGAAGGGTTATTTACAATGATTGCCACATACCTCATACACAGTAGCTCTTTAGCGAACCTATAATGATAAGAACAGAAGGGTATGAAGTTAGCAAGCAGTGTTTTGATACCAAGCATAAAACGTCAGCATGTACGCACATACAGAGCAGGCCTAGGCTAGATATTTCCTTGATCAGCATCACACAAGTTGACAGAACTACAGTGATACCAAGTTATTGCTTCAGGCCATAACGCTGTCAACTGATACAACTCTTCCACACGGTTGGTTATCCACAATGCACTTTTTCTGATCCATTAAGAGACATCGGTGACAATGAAGTTTAATTACTTCAAGTGGTACAAAGGTATGGTCTGGCCCATGAACTGTGTGAACTTAAAAAGGCTTGATTTTGGTTGCAAAATGTAAATGATTGTTGTTCAAATACACGTTGTATTAAATAGCCTGGTGATGAGTGGCAAGTAGCAATGCAGAGAAAATTAGAATTCAAAGCAATATTAAATCAACTTGGTTATTTATAAGCACAGCTGAAAGCAGGTACCACAACAGTTGGTATGCACTGCTGTAGTGAAAGCAGGTACCACCACAGTCGGTATGCACTGCTGTAGTGAAAGCAGGTACCAAAGTCGGTATGCACTGCTGTAGTCATAGCAGGATACCACAACAGTCGGTATACACTGCTGTTGTGAAAGCAGGTACCACCACAGTCGGCATGCACTGCTGTAGTGATAGCAGGAACCACCACAGTCAGTATGCACTGCTGGAGTGATAGCAGGTGCCACCAAAGTCAGTATGCACTGCTGTAGTCATAGCAGGTACCACCACAGTCAGTATGCACTGCTGTAGTTAAAACAGGTACCACTACAGTAAGTATGCACTGCTGAAGTGATAGTCGATACTGCTATAGAATTGGTAGCTACTAACGAGTTAGATACTAAAACAGTCAGTATATACCACTACAGTCAGTAAATACTGCTAGTCAGTAGATACTACTATACAGTCAGTAGCTACTGCTATAGAGTCAGTAGATACCACTAGAGTCAGCAGATACTGTTATAAAGTTAGTAGTTACTACTATAGTCAGTAGATACTACTATAGTCAGCAGATACTACAGTAGGGTCAGTAGATACTACTACGGTCAGTCGTTACTAGTCAGAAAATACTACTAAACAGTCAGTAGCTACTACTGGCTCAGTAGATACTACTGTAGGGTCAGTAGATACAACTACAGAGTCAATAGATACTACTACAGTCAGTAGATAGTACTGTAGGGTCAGTAGATATTACTACGGTCATTAGTTACTACAGTCAGTAAATACTACTATACAGTCAGTAGCTACTACTGGCTCAGTAGATACTAATGTAGGGTCAGTAGATACTACTACGGTCATTAGTTACTACTACAGTCAGTAGATAGTACTGTTGGGCCAGTAGATACTATGGTCAGTAGTTACTACAGTCAGTAAATACTACTATACAGTCAGTAGCTACTACTGGCTCAGTAGATACTACTGCACAGTCAGTAGATACAACTACATAGCCAATAGGTACTACTTACTCTGTTGTATGTATGGTGTGTAGGTTTATATACCTACGCAGAGGTAAAAATATTTTTTTAGGGGGGGGGTCGACAATTTTCGGAAACCTATTAGATCAACTATATTTATCCCCCACTTTCTATTACTTTTTGGACTTATGCAAGCCTCTTATAATTTTGTTGGTGGACAAATGGACAAACGGCCCACCGGGCTTTCACAATACCTTAGTATCTGTGTATGTATATGTAATGTTTTTAAAAGAAGTTTTGAAATATATTTTTCGCCCAGGCAATGCCGGGTACTTCCCGCTAGTAATCTATATGTATATATGTATCAAAAACCTCTAGGGTGCTTCCCGACAAGGTAGAAAGCTGAAGTTTGGTAGTTAGCTTTTAGGACAGAAACAAAAAGAAAACTCTGAAAATCCGAGATTTTTTTATTTTAAGGCCTCCAAATCTTGATTTTAAGTGCCCCAGAAAAATGTGTGCGTCATTCAGAAACCGTTCAAGATATAAAGATTGTCGTTTTTTTCATTTGATAGAGCGCTAAACAGCAAATAAAATTCAAGTGAGAACCATTTCTATCTTTTGTTTTTGAGATATTTCGGATTAAAGCGGTTTTGAACGAAAAAATACGCATTTTATGTTCAAATCTTAATAATTAGAAAACGGTAAAAGATAGGAGCTTTCCCTCAGAGTATTAAATTAATTCATTTTTGTTCTTACTAATAAAAAAATGAATCTTTAAATTAGGCGGTTTCTGATGGGTACGTCTTTAAATAAAAGTTTAATCAAGTCGTCAACAATGATCGAAGATTAATATTGTAAAAAAATAATCAGGTTAATTATTATACTTATTCAAAACTTTTTCCTGGCGACGACAGGCTTTATGAACTAATATCAAATATTATCTAAGTCCAGAAGTACATTTTCGTTAATCTGTCTCTCTGTGCATCTACATCTCTGTGCCTGCATATTCCAAGTTTCTCGGTATCTGTTGCTTTTCTTTCTCAGTGCCTCTGTCTGTGTTTGTCTCTCTGTATATCTGTAGAGAGATATAGGTGGCGAGTGCAGTTAAACGGGTGCAACTGAAGACTAACAGGTGTGCGCGTTGCAACATGAGGTTTGCACCGACAAACCAACAGTAATTAAGGGGAGAAGCGGGTGCAAACGAGGCCGAGCAGGTGGGAACGTTGAGGCCGGAGGTTGGCGTTGGGGTGACGGGAGATGGGAAGTGATAAGGGATTAATGAGAACAACAGGCGCCGTGTCGGCGGCGGCTTAAGGGGGACCATGTGAGGACTCGGAATGAGAAGGGATATAGAAGCGGGAATGCGCGTGAGCGCATTTGCCGGGAACCAAAAGTGAAGACATCTCGCCGCTGCCACTCAAGCCGTCAACGAGACCTCAACCCTCACACCATCGCCGGGCGGGTATTACCTGAACCCCCTGCCCGGGACAGATGAGTGAGTGGCCATGAGGCAACATAGGTGAGGCCAGCGGTGGAGATGGAGAGTCACTGAGTGCGGAGTTGCTGTGTGCAGAGTCGCTGAGTGCGGAGTTGCTGTGTGCAGAGTCGCTGAGTGTGGAGTTGCTGTGTGCAGAGTCACTCAGTGCAGAGTTTATGAGTGCAGGATAGGTGAGGTGCAGAAAAGATTAGAGCGGGGAGAAGTCAAGTATATGTCACCGTAAAGATATAGGGGTGCCTACAACTGGCGCAAAACCGGATAAATAAAGTGTAAGCAGGTGACTTGTTACTCCGTGTTGGTGTGAGTAATTTTTAAAGACACAACATATCATGTGTCTGTCTCTCGATGTCTCCATACATTTCTCTTCGTATCCATCTCCATCTTTAGGTTATTGTCACACTTGGTCCCTCTCTGTCTTTCTCTACGTCTATCTCCACGTCTCTCTGTATGACACTGTCTTTCCATTGCACAGCGCGCGCACAAATCGCATGGTGAAATATCTTTGACGTTATGTCACAGCAGCCCTAAACCATGCACAACCGTACCTTTTGCTAAATGCATTCCGCAGGCCCAAATGTTGCAGTTTATTCCTGTGGATCAACATTTCCTGTCAACGAGGGGGGTGGGAGGAGGGAGAGGAACACACGCGCGACTTAAGAAAGTGATTCACTTGCGAATGTTTACAGTAATTAGGAACTATGCTTTCTTTTATTTGACAGCCAAATTGGATTGCACTCAAGTTTGCATGGTCACGAATGAATGACTCAAATAATCAGACCGCGTGTTGTTCCCTTTTCCATACAAATATGTCAAGGGTATGGCAGCACCAAAATCAAGAGGATGGCGGCAGTGGATCAGTTGTGACTAATGCTGATTATTACACAGCCAAAACCATGAAAGAGGTATCATAACTTGAGAAATGCTGAAAACAAAATTAACCTGGTAAATGCACAAGACAGTACTGAATAATGAAAAGAAAAAAAGTGGCAATGTACTCTACGGAGGTCAAATTAACCTTGTGTCGATCGAATATGCTCCTGTAGTCCACTCGCCTTTCTTGTGAGTTTACCAAACCTTCCCGGTTACAACTCATGGAACGGATCCAATTGAGAGGTTGGAAAGCTCAAGAACGGGCTACAGTGGGCTATAGTTGTAAGTTACATCGACAGAACACGACCATGTCAACCACACCCCCTCCTGCAATATGCACTCACTTAAGATGACAAAGAAAATGATTAATGAGCGATCGAGTGCTTAGGGTGCGCTTGTCATCTTAAGGCTGAGGGTGAAGGCGGCCCCGCATGCAGTGCGAGGATTTAGGTTGTGTAAAAAACCTTAATTTTTTAACTGGAGAAACGGATGTGTGAAGGCGTTCTATTGTCTGCTTCACCAGTGACGCTGATTATTTTGAGTTACGTATGATATATTTGCATGTCGAAATAGGATCTAAAGTGTTAGAGACAGGGTCCTTGCCTGTAAGACTGGCAGTTCATCAGCATTTAATCAAGCAAGCCTGGTGCTGCTGATGAGATAGTGTATGTCAAAACCAGTCCAGTTTGCTTTTCTTTAAATCAATGCTGCTGAAATAATGCACTCTCAGAATGCCGTGCCGCTGATGGGTTGTGCAATTTTTTTTATGTTGAGATGGATATGTGGAGACATGAATGCTTCTTTATTTTGGATATTGACACATTTTCATCACATTTAGACTGATGTCTGTTACAACATAGTTGGGTGTGCTAAGGGTTTATGCTGCATATAAAAATCTAATTCATATTGATTAATTTACTTTAGAGCTTAACACTTGTAGGCGGAAAATTCCACTTACCTGAGGAGAATTACAGACGGTTGTACAAAAATGGCATTTATACACGTCGTTCGTTTTTGGGAAAAACCCATTGTAGTTGGAAATCTCTTCCTTTGTTGGATGGTCACGCTGCAGAAAACTGGGATTCTCGATGGCAGCCGGGACTGCTTTACTGATATTAGTTTCCGTGAAACTGACAGGGGCAGCTACAGGAACACCAGACGCTTGTTTGGCCACAGCAGCAGTGGTAACAATATCGGTAGATTGCCTATCAACTGGTTTGGTGTTATCAGTAACTGATTTATGTTGAACCACAGGTTGAACACTGCTGGGGGGGTTAACATTTGTAGCAGGGTTGGCATCTTTTCTATGTTTACAAAGATCAGGTTTAACCCCATCTGCAGATTGATCTTCTGGAACTGCATTTGTCGATTTGGTTTTGTTGTCGATGTCACATCTGAAATAGCTAAAAAAAGAAAGAATAATTAATCATTTGTTGGGGTGATAGTTACCCCTGAACTGTCATATGAACACAAACACAGTCACATTACATGAACAAAATGATCGCGGCAGCATATCAGATGATACATCTTAAATATTCTAGATGCTCTGCGTGTGCGTACCAATGCAGAGCACATCTTGAAGGGAACATCTGATTAGGTAGCATGGGTTCTGCCGAGAGGGCCTCTGAACAATACAATGCCTGAAATTGACCAGGTGATGATGTGGATGACACCCCCTTGATAATTCTGTGAATGAATGGACTCTTGGCAAAAGGAACCACAGAAAATCTCCTGTGAGAATGCCATAACAGTGGCCAGTTGAGCTCGGATGGTGGCTGCCGCTAAGTCTTTATGGAATTGCCTCACCAGGAATGCAAGGACGTCCAGTGCAATCTCACACTTCCTGAGGTGGATAAGAAACTCCCAACAGAATAGCATGAGCAGCCCCCATGGGCTTGCAAGCTGATATCAAAAACACCAACGAACCAGCGGATGTGTCTTGTCAGATTAAGCGGTTATATTTTCCAAGCTGCTGGATTGAAAAATTCCCCTTGAGTGCAAAATAGATCACTGTGTTGCTGAATATCCTGCCTTAACAGGAGCCTGCACGGATTGTCCACTGATGACACCTCCACCAGCTCTGAAAACAAATAATACTGACTCCATAACATGGGGCTAACATAATATTTTTTGACCTGTCCCTGCTGATTGTGTGCAGGACTGTGGTGACCAGAAGGATTGATGAAAATGTGCAGATCAAGGCCCTTTAACCAATGGGATAGAAGAGCACTTGGCACAACCGTTTTCTGTGACAAAATTCATGAGCAGAAGATGGGAACCCCTCATGTTAACAGAACACACAGAAGCAGACCGCAAGGCCGTGCTTTCTTCAACATCACAAACGAACATTACGTGCAGCAAGTTAGCTCCATAACTTATCAATGAAGCAGTAGCTATTAACAAATCCACATGTAATGCTATGGCATCCCCACAACTGAGAAATTGTCCACATATATTTGACTGGTACAATGTGACCTCAGTTATGAAGTGCAATGCACAGTGTTTATAATAATTCAACATATATATAAGTATAGCTTTCATGACTGCAGGGATTCATATTCTTGGTTCTTTCGGTAAAGTCACGTAGAAGGGAAACAATAAAATAATAAAAAATATAAAACAATAAAATTCTCACGACGTTTTGACTGCAACACAAGCAATCATCATCAGGTGTGAAAACCACAACAATAAAATTTGAAAAAAGTGGCGGTTATTTTTAACGTAAGCAGCACGGAGGGAGATTTGACAGTTTGTTCAGATGGACGAGTCCATCTATGTTCGGAAAAGAGGGGGAGACGAAAAATAATGGATGCGGTCTGAAAGCCACCTTAAGCGTGATCAATCAATTAAGACCCGAAATGGTTGATCAAATCCTTCTAATGATTGCTAAGCCAGAATCCATCTTCTTGGTTGAAATTGTCTCTGTGTTTGTATATGTGGATAGACTCATGAACGAATCTCTCATGGTAGCCAAATGGCTTGCAAATAACCTCTGTCTAGGAGAAGTCAATGTCATGTGAACCTACTGAATTATAACAGTGATCTGCCACGGCCGACATGATGGTCCTACCGTGTTTAAGGTCTGCTTTGTGTTCACGAATGCGGTCCGAGACATGTTGTTTGGTTTCTCCAATGTAACTACTACCACAGAGGCAAGTCATTTTGTAGACGCCAGGGTACCGTATGTCCGGAATCACATCTTTTACAGACGGAACCAGATCACGGATTTTATGTAATGTGTTGAATCGGACCTGGATCTTATGTTTATTCAAGATTTTGGAGATCTTTTTTGTGATCCCTGCAATGTAGGGTAAAGTGATGGTTTTGAAAGGCTCCTCAAGAGGGTCCTTCTTCATGGTTGGAGTGATAGCTTTGCGAATTGTGTAGTCGGAATAACCATTAGCCTTAAGAGCTTGGTGTACGTGCTTAAGTTCACTGGCTATATGTTCCTGGACGGATATGCATTGGGCTCTATGGTGCAGAGTCTTGATGAGGGAATTCTTCTGTGATGGATGGTGGTGGGAATCCAGTTTCAGATAAGCATCCGTATGGGTAGCTTTCCTGTAGACAGAGTGGCTCATTGAACCATCAGGTCTCTTTTTTATTAGGACATCCAAAAAAGGTAGCTTGCCATCTTTTTTGACTTCCATGGTAAATCTGATGGCTGGGTGTATGGAATTGATGTGGTCGAAGAATTGGTCTAGAGCAGGCCGGCCATGTGGCCAGATGACAAAAGTGTCATCCACGTACCTCTTCCATAAGGTTGGGCGCAGAGTGGCAGTCTGGATGGCGTCAGTCTCAAATTTCTCCATGAAAATGTTGGCTACAACCGGAGATAGGGGGATGCCCATTGGGAAGAAGGACCCTCTTGAGGAGCCTTTCAAAACCATCACTTTACCCTACATTGCGGGGATCACAAAAAAGATCTCCAAAATAATGAATAAACACAAGATCCAGGTCCGATTCAACACATTACATAAAATCCGTGATCTGGTTCCGTCTGTAAAAGATGTGATTCTGGACATACAGTACCCTGGCGTCTACAAACTAAGTTGCCTCTGTGGTAGTAGTTACATTGGAGAAACCAAACGACATGTCTCGGACTGCATTCGTGAACACAAAGCAGACCTGAAACACGGTAGGACCAACACCTCGGCCGTGGCAGATCACTGTTATAATTCAGTAGGTTCACATGCCATTGACTTCTCCAAGACAGAGTTTCTTTGCAAGCCATCTGGCTACCATGAGAGATTTGTTCATGAGGCTATCCACATATACAAACACAGAGACAATTTCAACCAAGAAGATGGATTCTGGCTTAGCAATCATTGGAAGGATTTGATAAACCATTTCGGGTCTTAATTGATTGATCACGCTTAAGGTGGCTTTCAGACCGCATCCATTATTTTTCGTCTCCCCCCTCCTCTTTTCCGAACATAGATGGACTGGTCCATCTGAACAAACTGTCAAATCTCTCTCCGTGGTGCTAACGTTTAAAATAACCGCCACTTTTTTCAAATTTTCTTGTGGTTTTCAAACCGGATGATGATTGCTTGTGTTGCAGTCGAAACGTCGTGAGAATTTTATTGTTTTATATTTTTTATTATTTTATTGTTTCCCTTCTACGTGACTTTACCGAAAGAACCAAGAATATATAAGTAACTATTTAATAATACATTTTGCATTTATGTGGGCTTTAACTGGGTCTGAATACAAATCATCATAGTGTACTCTAAATCAGCTGTTGCTGGAAAAGTAACAAATATGATTTAAACAATGACAAAACAGCTACAGGAAAGTACATAAAAAATGCTACACTTACTTCATGTTGTTCAATTCAACGCGAAACCTACAAAGAAAGACAAATAATCATGGTCTTATCTTGATTTGAAGCTTTCGTTACTGCAGGAATCCATACTCTTTGGTTCTTTCGGTAAAGTCACGTAGGTAGAAAAAATAATAGATCACAATGTTTTGATAGCCACACAAGCAATTGTCCTCAGATGGGAGAGAGGACGATTGCTCGTGGCGATCGAAACGTCGTGATCTATTATTTTTTCTACCGACGTGACTTTACCGAAAGAACCAAAGAGTAACCATGGTCTTATATTTGCGTGAGACTAGCAAGAAATAGTATATGTAAGGCATGATATAATGATATATACTGTGCACAATGAACATTGGTAAATAATAATTTCAACTTGTAAAATGCACAGCAATCATTTACTCTCGAAGACTGAATCAGAAGCACGAGGAGGAACCACAGAAGAGCAGGAAGACAGGCAGGCAGTGAGTTGGCCCCACCAATTGCCCAAGCTCTGCCACCCTTTATTTATTAAGATGTTTTCAGCTAATTAATGAGCGCTTCCACGTGGGAGGAAATTGGAGCACCCAGAGAAAATTCACGCGTGCGAGGGGGTAACACTATTCCATACGAACGGCAACAGGTGGAGTCCACATTTTTTGCTGTATAGCAGAACCTCTCTTAACGCTACTGTAATCGCTTAATGACAGGCCTCCACAGAGCCCAGTGTGTTCGCTTACTAACCATTCCCCTGTTAACTACGGGCTGTTGTAGGTACAGTAAATTTAAATCAACACATTCACCATATTTATTTTAATGTGTTAGTATCTTTGTATTAATATCCATTGTTGAAATATTATAAAATAAGTTTTTATGGTGAAAAAGGGTAACTTTCGATGCTATCGGAATGGACTAAGCCTTTAACGTGTATTTCCTATACTCGCCTAATGACCAAATCACTTAACGATCGGTTTCGTGGAACCAATTACCGTCGTTAAGAGGGGTTCTACTGTACTTCTTTCCCTTGACAAACCAGGGTATAGCACCTTAATGGCCACAGGAAGTTTGTGGCATTTGTGAGATTCACCAACCCTTGCTGCCTGCACGGTGCAGTACGGCTTACTTGTAAGACAAACACATTAACTGCAAATGATGTTATTTTAAACTAGCCTTCTGACTGTCCAAGGACGGGTGTATTGCACTAAGTTTGAAACTTGCAAGCGAAAAGCAGACTGTGATGTGATATTCATTGCATCCAATTTTGACTTAAAACTTTCCTGACTGCAGGAATCCATATTCTTGGTTCTTTCGGGAAAGTCATGTAGATAGAATTTTTTTTTACTTATGCAACTTGTTGCATTTGGAGACTGTCCCCCTCTTTGCTCTCCGCCTAATGAAGACCGCTTGTGTTGCGATCAAAACTTCGTGGTTTTTTGCTTTTATTTTAAAATTTCATTAATTTTTGTAATTTTTATTTAATTTTCTATCTACATGACATTACCGAAAGAACCAAGATTATTCATTGCATCCATTCGTGTGCAATTTGTAAGGCCGCGGTGACACAGACTTATTTCATCATGACGTCCTTTTTACTTCTATGTCTCAAGAGCGTTACGGAGATCGCGTGACGTGAGGGTTCTGCCTTTGTAGTGAGGGTTATAAGTTGCCGCTAAGCAGGGAGGTGGAGGCGCCTCGCTCCCCCATTTGGAGTGACGGCACACGCTAATTATTATTAATGGAAGGGGGGGGGGGGGGTGTCCATTTGGAGGACGTCACCTGTTCATGATTATTAATAAGGGGGGCTGTTCGATGTGGAGTGACGTCACCTGCTCATAATTATTAATGGAGGGCGGGTCCATGTGGAGGATGTAACCTGTTCATGATTATTAATGTGGGGGCTGGCTGATGTGTAGTGACGTCATGCGCGTTACACACTGACATTCTTGGGTAAATATAGTAGTAAATGTCAGAGGGGTGGGGGGAATGCCACACCCAAATTATTAAGTACAATACGCAGCTTTCATGCCAACAAAGTTATACACAATTGCACAGAAATTTCATACAAATCAATGGCTGAGAAAGTCAGTCCTACACATCACCCTTGCCAAGAGATTTCCATTGGGCATACATAAATTACAGCAAAATTGTTATTTCAGTTACGGACATTAAATTAACACGTGGTTTTTGCCTCACTCAGGACCGTGCACAGCTGCAATGACCAGAAAACAAAGAAAAAATTAAGGAAATATTTTGTACTGATATTCACAATGAATGATGACAACATTCCAAAGCACTCACTGGATACTGAAAATTTGAATGTTCATCTTATGTGAGCGATCCTTCAGGTGGTTGTCCAGTTCCTGGGCAAAGAAAATCATTAACACGCAAACGTATATCAAAATCACCAATTTAATAAGCATTTAGAAAAACAAATAGGTCTGCATGTAGAAAACAAAGCCTATTCACTGGCAGAGGAGGACTGGAACTCACGAGAACCAAAATTACTGTTGTCAACTCCATACAATGGAAATGAGCGCCACCTTCATGACAAAATATCTGTCTATAAATGCTTATGTCCTAAAACCATGCACGTCAGCTTTTAGAGAAAGTCTTTCCATTGTGTAACATTGCGCCACAAAACTTAACAAGGATATGTACGAACACAGTTGAACCAGTCTCATCCACGTGGCTAGAATCTATGAGAATCTTTTAGCGAAACTCCTGTTATCCATGGTAGATACCCCTCCTGTTATCCGCGGCCATTCCATTGATAGGAGTCTCGCAGTAATTTTTGGCCAATTTCCACAGCTAGATAGTGCCGCTGCAGGCACTTGTTATTCGTGCCCATTCCGTGGATAAGGCACGTCGGCGAGCCGAATCATTCCTAACATCCACATTTACCCTTGGAATAACATCTCCGAGTTCTCCCGCTGAAGAGTGATGGTGATGGGATTTACGATAGTGTTCATAAAACAAACCACTTTTATTTTATCAGATAAGGCCCACTGAGCTATATCGTTTTTCAGAAGCGACCTGGCTAAAAATGACAAAGTGGCTTATCGTGTGGAAATGTACAGCAGCCAAATACTCTCAACTCATGTTTCTGAATGCGGAGGGAAAAACTGGAGGACCCGGAGAAAAATCCACGCGATCATGGGGAGACACGTAAACTCCAAATATACAAGTGTCAGGGTCGGAATTGAACCCACGACCTTCTGTATACCAGGCGAGGTAGTTAATATCTCGCCACCCCTTGAAGATGATGGTGTCTCGCCAAGTACAATTGTGATCTGTGCAAGGCCTTGGTCCGAGCATTGGCGGAGGTCATTCGCGCTACACACGGCGTTGACGAGAACTCGTCAAAGTCGCCTACAGTGGAGATGGAGCGCCGAGATCTGTTCATGTGAAGATTATTGTGATATCGCAGGTCCCCAAGGACAGCGACAGCCCGGTGGCTATACAATGGATGATGTTGATGATCCTACTGTTGGCGATGATGTTGAAGGCAATGATGATAAATATATGGCACATACAAGTCGACCTCATTTATCCCACGGCCATTCCACGAATAAAAGTAGTTATATGTTGGGATAAATGCGGATAATAGGATGCACAGCTATCATCGGGTACTACAGTATATTTATTATGTGTAGCACTGTTGTCCATACATTCTATTTAGTCCTCACTATCTTTTAATAGTAGGCCCCTATCTACATACTAGATAAACTTGCACATTTGTGAGCGCACTAAAGACATAGTAAAAACACGAGGTGGGTTAAAGTGGAGATTTAAGACGAGGGCAATTTTAAAAGTAGTTCCACTCAAATCTGAACTGGACGTCTAAACGAAAGCTTTGTGTCGACATGAATTAGTCGAACACCTATTATTATCTTGATGGAGATACTCTAAAGGAACAGTCTGGTGCATGTTCAAAGCAAATCACCTATGCATCATATGTCACAATGTTATTTTACGCCCCCAAAATATCGCTAGACATCGGCAGATTGTTCATTCGTAATTTCAGTAAATATTTCCCATTGTAGCCAAGTTATTTAGAACATCGAAAAATGACACTATGACAAAAAAAACATAGCTATGTTTACAGATATCATGAAGGCTGAGAATAATACATTTCTACATTAAAACAAAAACTTCACTGCACTTTACATTTAAAACAAAGTCTACACATGATGTATTTAAGGGATCCCCATAAAGCCGTTCTTTACATACGACAATCTGGCTTCAATTATAATATACAAACACAGAATTAGCATAATTGATATATTAGCAGACAAGATTCACTCTCATAAAATCTGTCTCTCCACATGTAGAAAATATAAAAGTATTTTTTTACACAACTCAACAGGCCTCAGGGCCTTGTGGGAGTGGCCAATTTCAGCAGCATTGTCGGATCTGCAGTCAGGCTTGCTTGAATCAATGCTGCTCACCTGCCAAATGTAATAGGCGAGGAACTCTCCCTTTAAGATGTAGGTAATAGTTTGATGTTAAGGTATATACAGTATTGCATAACGCAATAGGTGTGAAGACAGATATATGAAGGAAACGCTGCTCATCTATATTATGGTTTTAAATATCATCCTCAGAGTATCATGAGATATACACTCACCGTTTGGTTGTTAAAAGTGCAACTGCATAAGAAGCATTTAAAAGTTTCATTGTGTCGATAATCCCCATTATAATTTTGCATCTCTTCCAGCAAGGGATAACTTCTTTGTTGGAATGGTATATCATCCGATGTTTTGTTGTCTACTTCATTGCCATGGGGAACAGCGCTGGGCTCTGTTTTCTTTGCTTCACAAACACTCGGAGTTTCTAATTTGCCTTGTACAGTCTCTGAGGTGGAAGATGGTTTACTCTGATAAGCGTTTAACCTATGTGACACATTTGTCAGAATTCTGAGATTGGAGTATTGATTGTTATTTTTTTTTGTCGATTGTAGATTGACCATTGTGCCTGGTGTGTTTTCAACGGAATACACATGCGGTGGATATCTTCCCGGCAGCGGAGGCATCACCGGGTTTGTCTGTGGAGGTCCTGCAGTTCCTGGGAAAGTTGGATAAACATTGTTGGTTGTTTGGGGAAGAGGAAACATTGGTGGCCAACTTGGTGAAGGGCTTGGATTTCCATGGAAATAAGGAGGTACATTGTTGAATCCCAAAGTCGCAGGCATTGGTAGATTTACTTGTGGAGGTTTTACATATACTGGGAATGGAGGTGGTGCTATATTTAGAATGCTTGGATCCACAATCACAGGTGGGATTGGTGGTGGAGGTCCAGCATATCCTAGGAATGGTGGGTAGACATTATCACCTCCCAGATGACCATGAATCGGTGGATTTGGTTGAGAAAGTCCTACATATCCTGATATTATGTTTGTTTGTGGTGGTGCTATATTCCCAAAATGCTGTGGTGGTATACTTTCAAATACTGGCTGTGGTGGTATACTTTCAAATACTGGAGGTGCACATATTGGTACATGTTGCTGAAAGCCATGAGAGCCCTGCATTGATTGATGGGTAATGTTAACTAAAGGCATCTGTTCTTGCTGCAGCGGCTTCAATTCGATTGCAATGTTCTGTATTTGCTTTGGCTCGAAATTTTCAACTGAGGGGCCTTCAATTTGTTGTCCTTCGTTTTGAATGTTTTTAGAATGTTGTCGTTTCTGTTTATTAAGTAGAAATAACCGAAGAACATCAATGCGCTGGTTTAAATCGACCCCTTGCCTTCGCTGTGGTTTCTTTAATTTCTCAGAACTTTCTGATTGTGGTTGTATTCTTTTAGTCCCAGAACATGAACTAAAATCCTCTGTTTGATGCCGAGAAGGCTGGGATTCTACAATGTCCTTCTGAGCCTCCTGATGCCTAGATTGTACCACACGTATTTTCTTTGCATGATGCTGCAAAGGTGCAGCTATACCTTGGGTATAATTCAACCTTTTGGGTTTCTCCACCGGTGACTTTCTTTTGTAAGTCTGTCCAAACTGGTCCAATTTCACCTTCGTGGCATCGGAAAATGTGAACTTTGTCTCTTTCACTCTCTCTTTAGATGAAAAGCCATGATCATAATCCACAACTTGAGCATCCTCAGAAGAATTATCCACCATATGTGCGAGGCTACTGGCGCCCATGTCACTGTGGAGGACAAACGCGGATGGCTGTGAAGACGGCCGACCAGTTCCTGACGTGTTTATATGTTCAAACGTCGAGCGTATGACAGGCAGCGGCGAAGGTGACCGTGAACGATATGGCTCCCGTGCTTTTTCCACCTGTAAAGCTGTGAAGCGGGAGACAGCTGATAGTGAAGGAGACCGGCGAGGGCTCCGATTGTTCTCACATGGAAGTTTCTCGTAATCGACAGATGGTGATGAATGTGAACGATGACCCCATTCTTTTTGCACACGTTGAGGTTCTGAACGAGAGACGGGTTGCGATAAAGCTGACGGATCCAATCTTCCTTTCAGCGTATGTCCAGATCTTGAGTGCAAGATAGACGGTGGCGAAGGTGAACGATACTTTCTTATTTGTTTCCCTTGCACAGATGTTGGGAGAGAGGCAGGTGGCGTTGAATGAGTCGACTGATCCGCACTTGATTTCTGTGTGTGCGCTAACTTTTTCTTCATGTAGGCTTGAAGGATGCCTGGAAGATTTTCTACAGTGAGCTCTTCTGCTGAGTGCTGGCTAAGACTGTGCAAGTCTTCCTGTGAAAGTCCAAATGTTTGTAGTACTTCAAACACACATTTATCATCTGTAATTTCGCTAGCCATTGGTAAATCCCAGTCTTTAACAGAGTAACCTTTATCAGTCATCTTGTCACATTAATTAAACTACAAATCAAATGTTTCAATTGAATGTCTAATTTATTGAGGTTGAAAAATATAACCAAATGGATAATGAAAAACTATATTATTCTCTATTACTCATTTCAGGTGCAAATATTAATTAAATGCCAAAACATTTTCTTTACTTGTGGCGGTATGAAGAATCGACGTGAATGGATTCAGTGTATACATAACATGACTTAAGCTTATGCTTGCTAAATGACTGTAGAACAATTGTCAGAGATCAGGATCTTCTTGGGAAATGTTTTCAGAAGATAGTGAAGAAGCATCTCCAACCCACTGCGATGACGTCACGACTCCAAGATCAGGTCAACTCCTTAAGATCTGCTACTGGAAGAAAACATAGCATACATGACCGACAGAATAGCAGTATCAACTTGTACACGTGCACTGAATGCCAGTCATGAAACACCAGATCAGCCATTTCAAGTAATGTAGGTACGAGCATTAGAAACATATGGCTGAAATATTTGTGACACTGTAAATTTGTGTTTTTTCTGCAAAGGAAACTAATAATCTTCTAAAATGGGTTTCTGTTCATTTACCTTTAAACAGCAATGACTGCAATTGTAAAAGGATTTTAGATTTGGAAATTATGAACTACTAGCCTTTTGCCCGTCCAAGGACGGGTGTATTGCAGTAAATCTGAAAATTGCAAGCGAAAAGCAGAAGGCGACGTGAGATTCATTGCATCCATTCGTGTGCAATTTGTAAGGCGGCAGTGACACAAGACTTATTTCATTTAAAGGTGATAATCCCTTGTTCATCATGACATCCTTTTTACTTCTATGTCTCAACAACAGCGTTACGGAGATCGCGTGATGTGAGGGTTCTGCCTTTGTAATGAGGGTTATAAGTTGATGCTGAGAAGGGGGGAGGAGGCGCCTCGCCCCCCCCCCCATGTGGAGTGACGTCACCCACTAATTATTATTAATGAGGGGTAAGGTCCATGTGGAGGACGTAACCTGTTCATGATTATTATTGAGGGGGGCTGGTCGACGTGAGGTGACGTCAATCGCGGGGGACACAGACATTCTTGGCTCATTATAGTAGTAAATGGTAACGTAGCATATCTAAACGCATAGATTTGTGAGTGACTATTATGATACATCTATCTTATATATAAAAGGGAAATTTGTTAATGAGTGTGTTTTCGAAATGTTTAGCATTCTTCCCGACATGCAACAAACTTGAAATTTGCCATTTGGGTACTTTCCAGACTATACACCATGCAAAAAGTATCAATATTTTGGGGGGCGGGAGCAAAAATGTATATATTGTGCACGCAAGTGAGCGGTGACGTCACATCTGTCATGTCACCCGCATGCGGCAGCGTCACGCAGTGTGACTGCTGACGTCACGCATCCCCCCCCCCAAACCCTCCGCGTCGGCCGTGTATCCCGCACAAATGCGCGGCTGGGGGGGGGGGATAATGGATATAATATACTGTATAGAAATAGAAGATTAATATAATACGTGAGTTAATGTTACGTGAATTCGGCCACTTTCTTAGTCCAGCTACTGTCGAGACCCTTATCCACGCATTCATCAAATCCCGATTGCTGCTGCAGCGCTCTGCTCTACGCCCTCTCCAAATCCCCCCCCCATCTCTAAACTCAAGATAATACTCAATTATATTTTTAGTTTACCAGGTAAGGCCCACTGAGCTAGATCCTACAACTCATTTTCAGAAGTGACCTGGCCACAATAACAGCCCGACGAAATGGCTTCTCGCGTGCAAACATAGCAGCACAAATACTCGAAACGCGTGATGTTCATTCTAAATGTGGTGGTGGAACAAAAAACCCGGAGGACCCGTAGAAAAATCCATTCGGTGACCACGGGGAGAGTAAGCATACAAACTCCACATACACCGCAGGCGTCAGGGTCAGGGTAGGCAGAACCCCCCCCCCCCCTAGCCTCCAACACTCGATGAGCTACACACCGTGTCAATACTCTTTGGTTCTATTCGGTAAAGTCACGTAGGTAAAAAAATAAAACAACAAAAAATCACGACGTTTCGGCCACAACACAAGTGGCCTTCATCAGGTGAAGGGACAAACTGTCCAGCGGACAGCGTTGGAGTGAAGAAAGCCAAGCGCAGGTCGCCTCCTTTTAAGCTGAGGGGGTAAACAGAAAACGCCTTGACAAAGGAACTTAGCATAAAACACACCACTAACGCTTGGAATTAGCACAGGATGATAATACACCACCCTGAAAGTCAACCCATACGGTTCACGCGTATTCTTGTACCGGGAAATTGAGATTCCAGGTCCACAAGGCGTGCAAGCCGTTTCAATACGAGCAACAATAAAACACAACTTGTGTCTATTCGTTCGCGTTTCTCCCTTAGCATGGTGACTTTGTAGAATGAACGTTGAGCTTTATAAGGGGCACGGCGTGACCAATAAGGTTTCAATTGGTCTGCTAATAAGGCAGTGAAACGGGGTTTGTCCGGCACGCGATGAGGGCGTAGAGGGTGGTTCTCTCCTAAAGCTCTCTCTTCTCCCTCTCTCGTGACGGGAGACGGGATGCTCGAGGCTTCGAACTCCGGGCCCATAGACAAGACGGCGGCGGTCAACGCTGTGTCGGGCAGAGAAACCTCCCTCAGCTCCGACGTTGACAACCCGGAGAATCGCGAGGCCCGTCGCGCGTTCTGCCTCTCGTCAACCCCCCCACCTCCCACCCTGCTCTTTGTCGCGCAGCGCGAAGCAACGGCCGGACACATTTGCCGCTGCTTCGGTGGTCCCGCGTGCCTGTGTGTACGTGTGCGTACGCGTTAACAACAACAAAAAAACCGAGTGTAAAATTCGCAAGGAGGTTCCTTACCCGCACGCTGCCTCGTCCTGCGCGACCGGGCCCCTCGCGATTCACATGGGGTCAGAGGTCACATTGAGCTCCGGATATTTGTAAAAAAACTTTTTTTTCACTATTTTAGTTTTAATAACAGCAGAGAGCGTACCGAGACACTTTTATTTCAACGCTAAAAACGCTCATAGAGGATAAGTAATTTTTTTTTGATTTTTTTTCGTAAACTAAAAATAAATGTTATTGCGCGTCAGGTTAAACTTGCGGTGGATGGGTGGGGGGCGGGCATGGCACGCGTGACGTCACCGCGGTGGGACCACGTGACTGCCGGGGCGCACGCCCACGTGTCAACGTCGTTCGGCGTCGTCTTGTTATCGTACCCCCGTACAACGTGCCTGTGAAAAACTAAATTCCGTACCGTACCAGCACGGTAACATTTCGTACCGTAAGAAGAAAAAAAACAGCCTCTAAAAAAAACATAGATATATGACAAGCAAGCTGAAAGTATACCGTTTTGCTTCATTTTTTTATATATAGAAAGGGGCCGTCCATAAATGACGTCACGCGATTTTGGCCGATTTTTGACCCCCCCCCCCTCGTCACACGGCGTCACAAAAAGTCAGACCCCCCCTCAAATATGACGTCACAAAGCTCTGCCCCCCCCCAAAACCATATTTCTATTTTGAAAATAAAACATGCTTCAAATTGCTTTAAACTATTGTCATTGTAGTGCGTATTTAATGTGGCGCTGCACTCTGTTGTTGTAGGAGAAAACATTTAAAAGTATATTTAATTAAGTAGAACGTGTTGTCTACATTTATTTAAAGTTGCGCATTTTGATGTGACGTCACATTTCTCAAACCCCCCCTCCCCTCGTCACACATCGTCACAAATGTCTGACCCCCCTCCCCCCCTAGGTGCGTGACGTCATTTATGGACGGCCACAAAGTTCCTAACGTTTAAAAAATATATCTTCTGTAAATGTTCAATTTTTTAGCTCGAATTTACAAACAAAAATGTAAGTCCAATATCTCATAATTCCTAATATTAATTAAAAACGCTGAACATTTTCACCCGTTGTGAATGAGAAGTGGCATTTTGGGAAACTGGAATTTCGGCGGCCTGTGGGCCCCCGATTCTAGCTCCTGCTGAGGGCTTCTCGGTGCCTAGCGCCTCGCCCGTCGCCCCCACTGATGTCCTCTTCTGCCCCCCCCCCTCCATGTGTGCAGATACTACTGACTCTTGTATGTAGGGTTTGTAGGCATATATGCCTACCAGCAAACTGGAAAATAATCATTGAGAAATTAAGCCCTGCCTATAGTCTTTTAAAAAGTTCATAAACGCCCTATCGTACATATCTTGTACGCACAAAATAAAGATTTGCAATGAGTTGTGACGTTTCCATGCTAAACATACAATTTCACCTTGGTGCGCATTTGCTTGACAAATTAAAATACACAAGTGTGGTGTGGGATAGTGTGATTAACAGACATTTGTAAACGAAAGAATGTACATACATCTCCACTTTAAAACACGGCATCCTGTTTATTAAAACTGATGGCATTCCATTCCCAAAATTTATAAAGGCGATTAAATAAACAAAACAATGTTTGTGCTGCTTCAGCCATTGCCATTATCTCAATGAAAACATGCTTTTGACATTTCATCCATTGCCCGATGAGCCTTATATACATGACCTCCCTGTGAAATCTGCCAATCCTTTGCCAATCCATTCCTGGATGAGGGCATTGTGGGGATTAATTTGACCATAATGCACCACACTGGTTTTTTGGGGGGGTTCGTACAATGCCCTCTGCTGCCCAGTAGATAGCATGGCAGCTTATGACAGACCTTGCATGTATGGTGAGTCACCCATCCCAGAGTCATCCAGGCTCAACCCTGCCGAACTTGTGAGATTTCACGAGATCGGGCACATTACGGTTGTGTTGGTCACAGGACGTGGCTTTGATGAGGCCCTATTAATTAGTGATTATGTGAAGTCAAAAGCAGTTTAAGGTTGCCTTGTTTAAGCAAGTTCTCCTGAGAAACGATTTGGTAAAGAAACACGTTCCCTTTTGAGATTAATAAAATCCTTAGCTACTTATTATTCTGACATCAGCTAATTGTGTTATCCGGGTGCTTGTTAACCTGAGGATGCTGGATGTAATCTACAGTGAAACATAGCACCCATTAAAATTTTGTACGATTACTCTCCAACACACTGGTGGTTCTGAAGCAGGAATACATTTGGCACGTTTTATTAATGTGACACTTTTATTAATTGCCTATATAGGGTGAGGAGGGTTTACAACACAATTTTACACGGTGCAACCCCCCCCTCACCCCCCCAATCTCATGAATCGACGGTGTCATCCACAAACGTGAATATTGCATTAAATGATTACATGTGGCTCATATTCACTAAAAGGCAGTCACGTCTTGCATATTATTATTTCAACATTTCCATAGCAACCAAAGTGAACAGTTTTCACAAACAAATAAAAAAACAAAGACAACGATTGATACAGAAGCAGAGCTCTAGAGAGATCAGGATAGGATAGGCAACAATGTAAACCGAACCAAATTTAATAAATGAATAGGATTCCTTTGGAATAAATACGACCATTAAAGATTTAATTGTGTTACACAGTAAAACTTATTTAGATTACTGTATATATTTCAACAGAAAAATACAATACCACCTTTAAATTTCGATTTAAAGCTTTCGTGACTGCAAGGATTAATCTGCTTTGTTTCTTTCGGTAAAGTCACGTAGAATGAGAATAAAATAATAAAATAAAATAAACAATAAAATTATCACGACGTTTCGGCCACAACACGAGTAGCCTTCTTCTTCAAGCTCTGTCGTCCCGACAGTTATGTTCTTTCACCTGAAGGCTACTTGTGTTGTGGCCGAAACGTCGTGAGAATTTTGTCTGATTTTATTTTATTATTTTACAACGCTACCGTTTCTCACATTGTGATGACAGTGTTAATGTATTTATAGCAGAAGGTTTTTTTCGCACGACCACTTCTTCAAACTCTCTACTAATCCAGAACGAATGGTGAAGGGAAAGTCTTGCCCTTGACGTGTTCTTGCAGAGCCTGCCAGGGTAAGGGAGAGTGGTACACATTGAACTCGACCGTTACACACGGTTTCCTCTCCCTTGCACGGTCACTCTGGATGTCTTCGGTGTCACATTTAGATATCCTCTATGGATGTCCTCGGTGTCATGCCTAAGAAACACTTACAATATTTTGGATAAAATCATGGCTTTCTTTTTACACATAGGCATTCGCGACCAATTTTATCCATGAGAGGTTTTTGTTTTTGAGTTAGAATTGGCTGTGTCAGGTGGTGACGGGTTTAACGACACATTTATATTTTAATGACCTAACCAAAAAAAACCCTATATTATAATCATGGTTTTGTTTGAGTCAACAAGGCGACGCAAATGCTGTCCATGCTGACGACGAAACCTTTAAAGAGATGGTTAAAAAACAGCCGTTGCGTAGATGTAATATATTTAATCCTCAATAATAATAATAATTAGTTTTTGATACGGCATCCTATACACCGGGGTGAATTACGGCTCATGTCAAACATTTGACAGGGCACCCCCAGTGGCAGCTGACCCTGTGGCACTAGGTGACAAAGCAATTGACCTGCAAACAGGCAGCCTATCAGTGGGAGACGATTGCTTTGTGTAATTCTAGAAATTGACTAATTTGGCCCCTGACACCAGCACACAATGGCCTAGCCTTGCCAGTGACATCAGGGAATCTTTAATGTCCACTGTGAAGCAGACAGCGTGTTTTTATATATTATGAATACACCCGAAGTATTAATCGGGGCAGCCGCTGGCTTCGGACTGTGAACTTCTGCAACAAGCAGCGCACTCATCGCCGCTGGGCCATCAAGGGGGGGGGGGGGCGCGAACTTCGCAGATCTGCATCGTCACCGATAACCACCGAGAACCAATTGCTCGTAGGACACCCCCCAGCTTCCAGGAGTGCGGCTGTGCCCCCTGAATAATATCTTTATTGCCCCATTACTTGGTAAAGTCAGGTTTTACACAATGAATGGATTGTTACATACGGTCCCAAAGTGCACCAGCCAAACTACACAATGACCTAATTCTCATTAGCAGTAGCAGAAGCCACAATCGGCACAGGACTTTGTGATACCATTCGGAAAACTACAGCTTATCTTTACAATATTATGAACAGCAATATCAATCCACTTCTCGGTGAAGGACTCCTCAAGGATGTGGGAGGAAATTTGAGTTGCCAAGAAAAGCCCACATACTAGTGTATGTGGGCTTTTCTGCAGTAGTGCAACCTATTAGATGTCCTGCCATTTACGAGCTATGTTGCATTCTTTAAAAAAAAGAATGGGTGTCTCGGGGTGTCTTGCATACATGTCAGTGAATTACTGTACGTACGTTCCACCACCAATGGGACTATAGGTGTGTGGCACGATGCCAGTCTAATAATGATGATGTCCCTTTTATCCACTCTGCAATACTGCGCATGCTTTGCTGACGACCACCTGGCAAAAATTATTGGACGGCTACATGAATTACACTCTTCTCGTGTTTAGTGAGAATAATAAATACAGACTGCCAGCAAGCTTGACTTCTGCTAAAAAAACAAATCCCACGCTTCTGGACAGTAGCAATGAGACAAGCCTTGTCCTAAATGTTCATACGGACACTTGGGAATACTAAGCGTGAACACAGTCACTTCCCGCAACTCTGTGCATAAGAACAAAACACTTCCTCCAACAATTGCTAGCAAAGTCCCTTCTGTCAGCTGCCAGTGGTACCTACCTCACCGGCGTAGGACACAAGTGGCGATATCTCACACACCACTCCGCCAGAGCCACTGTGAACAAAAATAAACATTTTCAAAATGAATATCAATCCATGAAGTATTCCGCTTTACGCCACTTCTGCAAGGAAAAAGTGTGTCCTTGCTCAAACGGGCGATGGGAGGTTCTTATCTCCATTGGTGGAAATTCCACATTCCGATGGCATATATCATTCTCTTTAATCCTTTGCCATTTCGAGACATCTGCAAGTTGCAGGGTGGGTGTCCTGTTCACTAGCTGAATCTCAGAACGCACAAGCAGTTAGCGTTAATTTTATTTAGAGAGGCATAGCGCCGTTGTTTTTAAAGACATTGTACTCACCGCAGAGAACTGTAGCAACACGACCGCACTCTATGATAGCTGGCGCCAAACTGTGCCATACGCGCTTCCGCATAGCCTTGTGGGAGCCTCGGTGCTGATAAGGTTACGTAATAATTTTCTTCTGGTTTAATTTTTATGATGTACGTGTATGTACGTGTACGAAAGGGTTAATAGGGAACCTGCTTTTGACTCATGCATTTTACAGATGTGGAAATAATGATAAATAGAGTTAATGCCAGCAGGGATTTTAACTTGCAGCTGTCTGACTATGCTCAGTAAGATTTAGCAGCTGTTGAATAGGTTCTACCATGGCCCAGGGTTGCACGTTCGCCGCTTGTTGTAGAGGTTCACGCTTCGATTCCATCGGCCTCCCTGGTTAATACTGCGGATGTATTAACCATTGTAATAATACTCGCTGACTGCTTCACAGTGGACGTTAAAGATTCCCCGACGGTGGCGAGATGTTAACTACTTTGCCTGGTATACAGGAGTTCGTGTATTTGATCATTACCTTGACGCATGTATATTTGGAGTTTGCATGTTTGCATGTTCCGGGTCCTCCAGTTTTTCCCTCCACATTTAGCATGAACATCACGCGTTTAGAGTATTTAGCGATGTAAATTTCCACATGATTAGCTACTTTGTTGAGCTATCATTTGTGGCCAGGTCGCTTCTGAAAAAGAGCTGTATAGTTCAGTGGGCCTTACCTGGTAAAATTTAAATAGCAGTAGTAGTAGTAAAAATAATATAAACAGGCACAGTATTCGCTTCCTGTCGTAAAGAGACGACGACTCAGAGGTGCAAAGAACCACAGACAAGCGGGGAAGGCAGCTACGCAATGAACCGGCGGCAAAAACTGACAAAGCTCTGCAGTCCTCTATTTATTAAGGTGTTATCGGTCAATTAATGAAGGCTTACATCTGGAATAAAACTACAGCACCAGAGAAAACCCACGTGTGTGTAGGGGCAACACTTTGTCCCATACAGATGGAACAGGTGAAGTCCGCATTTTAGCTGCACCGTCTTCTCCCGGCGAGCAAGGTTATGGCACCTCGATGCTCATGAGAAGGGACACGTGCACAGCCACCACCACAGGACACGTGCACAGCCACCACCGCCAGGCTAACAATAATAATAATAATGATGATGATGTCACGAACCTGCTCACGTGGCCCCCCGCCTTCTCCACCCAGTGTGCGTGTAGGCTATACACGGCTTTCCGCGCCGTACTCGGACAATCCACCTGGCCCGGCTTGTCTGCATTCTTCAGCGGCGAGAAGGCGTCCTCACGCAGCACCTCGAACACGGCGAAGTTCCTGTAACAGGGCGAGCGCGCGTGCTTAAACGCGTCAAGGGCGTGGGCCATCGGACCCAGGCCCACAGGCAGCCAGGACCAGTCGAGGGCCTTGCTCAATCAGAGGCAGGTCACGAGATATCGGAGCCGATTCATGCGTTGGCAGATACATTTTCTGCTGTTCTGATTTTTTGTTGGTGAATGTGTGGTGAGATCTCCGTTACCAGAAATGGAGTAAATCGCCAACGTGTTGTGTTTGGGGCATTTTGTCAATATGTAAATCTGGCACATAGTCAGGACAATATCCTTAATCTTTCTAAATGGCGTGTAATGATTTGGCACTTCATCACCTGAAATATCTTCTTACTCTAAACATATATACGTGCGTGAATCATGCAATTGAAAATCAGTTATTTATCGTTCGTGAAAATTATATACAATGCAAAATCACCTTGAGGCTGATGGAACGAAAGAAACACAATGGAAATGATAAAAAGAAGAGTTGATAAGTGAATTGTGACCCCCAAATCACAAGAGTATTCAATTGCATAGGGAACAAAATGTTACGTGGCATACTTGCTAAACAACAAGGTGATATCTGTGATAGTAAAAAATCCCAAAGGATAGTGACGACACCACAAAATGGCTTGTGATGAATTCCCAATGGTCGACCATTACCCAAATGGCGATCACTGCTGCACTGTGAAGAGTAGCGAGATTTTAAATACCTCGTCTGGTATGCAGGAGATTGTGGGTTTGATCCTGACCCTGACGCCTGTATATTTGCAGTTTGCATGTTCTCCCCGTGGTCGTGTGGATTTTTCTCCGTGTCCTCCAGTTTTTCCTTCCACATTTAGAATCAACGTCACGCGCTCAGAGTATCTGGCTGATAAACATTTCCACGCGATAAGCAGCTTCGTTGAGCTATCATCTGTCGCCATTGAGTTTGGTGTAGGAATTTCAACTGCACCAGGGGCCATAACAACGGGCCAGGTGCCGGGCTACAAAGAGGGGGGCAGGGTAAACGAGCGACACCTGGCGAGGTGGCACGGCCTAGCGAGAGTGCCGCCTCACTTTGAGAACGGGAATACGTCAAAGATGAACTTCTCCATCTTTATGCCGTTGGGCTTGTCGGGTGCCACGGGTCGACCCTCGTCGTCCACGTAGCCCACCTTCTTGTGCGCCACGTGGTACAGCATCTGCGGCTCGTACTTCCTGGTTGAAACAACAACAAAAAAACCCCACGCAAAAGATCCATCGCATAGCCCACGTAGGCCGTCGAGGCAAGTTTAACGTACAGAGGCTTTTGCAATCAACATGATTCGTAAAAGATTTCCGGGTGAGAGCGCACATTGATGACATTACACCACCTATATAAGGCCCAAGACTGGAGGACATTGTCAGGCTTCTGGGAATTGCCTGAAGACGCTGGCTGTAACCACCAGCAAAACATCGAACCATATTATTGAATGTGTGTGAATTGCTCTCCAACAACATACTGATGGTGCTGAAGCAGTAATAAATTGGCACATTTGTTCATGTGACAGCTGTATTAATTGGCTGTGTCGGGTGGAGGAGGGTTTGTGACACACATTTTACTCATGCAATCTGACCGACGAATCAATTATAAATCATGCCGAGGCAAGTTTTGTTCACGATAACCTGTTTAGGCCAGCACGGCATGCAAGGGAGTGATGGTGTACAATTCACCGCGCCCGACTACCTTTGTCTCCCCAGTGCTGACGCTTACACACCAGATACCAGGTACTTATTTTAAGGTCCGAGTTGCCCTCAGGGAGACCCAGGACCAATTTAGATTATCTCTACCGATTGTAGAATCTAAATTATCTCTACTGATGTAGGGATAATCCAAATTCTCTGGTTCTTTCGGTGAAGTCACGTAGATAGCAAAAATAATAAATTATTGCAGAGAGAAAAAATAAAAAATTATTATAAATATTTTTTTTTTTCTACCTACGTGACTATACCGAAACAACCAGAGAGTATGGATTCCTGCAGTCACGAAAGCTTGAAAACAAGATATAATCTAAATTGTCGTACGCAGTGGTTAAGGATCCCTGACGAAAGAGTCTCAAGGGACAAACAGACTCAGAGGCTGCGAATGACCGAGTGGTGAAGCCTGAGCAGGGGATCATGGGACCGACTGACCCAGGCACCGGCTGAGTGAAGAGGCGCTGAAAGACTCTGGGCAGGCGAATGGGAGCGGCTGATCTTGACGTGCAGACGCACGCGCTTACCGCACCACCTCCTCCAGGAAATCGACGCTGAAGTAGTGGTTGCAGATGCTGGCGGCGCTGAACTCCAGGCGGCCGTTGCTGCCCCGCCGTGATGCCAACTCGGACGAGATCTCGCTGTACTCAAGCACGCGATAGTGGTCGCCCACCCGGCACACCACGCCCACGGGCTCTGTGGGGTCCACCTTCTCCACCACCTGCACCACACACAGCCACACCGTGTCATAGCAAAGCATGCTATAACACAGGAGTGGTGCTATCCACTCAACACCTCGTGTGTGTTGAGTGGCTAGCACCACAGCTCCTGCCCCAATGGTCTGTTGAGGCTACATGGTGATGAGGATTCTCATCTTTGTCTTGCGTCTGCTGTGCATGTTCGCTGTGCACGCTGAACCAAAGGGGTGCAACATTTCGCGAGCATCTCTTGGCCACGTCGATATTGCCCATCACGCCGACGACGTGGCACGTGACGCTCATCGCGCGCACGAGGATTCATCTCACCTCGGCGCCGCAGTCGGCGTTCTTGTGGATACAGAAGCCGAGGAATGCGGGATCCCCGACACGCACCAGCACGTTGTCCACGCAGTAGGCGTGCACGTGGCGCACACCGCGTGCCTGCATGTCGGCCAGCGCGCCCGACGAGCTGAGTGCGCGGTACACGCCGCCGTTACCATCTGCCACGCGCGTAGTACGCACGCACACATGCACACGCGCACGAAGTGTTCTTCATTGCAAAGCCCACGGGCCACTGGCGTCCCTGTCAACCCTTTATCAGTGCCAACCTCATTACAGATCAATTTAGGCCTTATTGGTCATTCCGTGCCCTTATAAATCTCAACGTTCATCCTACAAAGTCGCATCACAAGGGAGAAACACAGACACAAAATGCTTTGCCTGTATTGAAACGGCTGTATGTCATATGGACCTGAAAACTCTATTTTCCTGTATAAGAATGCGGGTAAACCGTATGGGTTTACAGCTACGCACTGGCAGCCCATGGTTGGCCTTTAGCGTGGCCCCTGATGCACGGCCCGCCTCCAACAAGACGCAAACATGTGAAGACGCTCCTTGCAGGCGGTATGACAAACCTCACACTGATGTCTTATCAGCATAGGGGGCCCCCCTCTCCCAAAATTTGTGAAGAGCCCTGCACTAACACGTCCACCGTGCGACCCCCCCCCCCCCCCCCCCCCCCCCCCACCCCGGTGCGAGCCTCTCACTGGGAGCCATGGCTATGAGCCCCTTGTCCTGCAGGATGATTTTGCCGGAGGCGGTGAGCGCCGGCAGCTGGCCTTGCTGGAAGAAGCGCACCGAGTCCGGATCCAGCCCGAACCAGGCCTGCTCCCGGAAGAAAGCCTCGGTGGGGGCATGCGTGTGGGCGCTCGTCACGATGTACCTGGTGCGACACGCGAGCCAACGATACGCAACGCAAATGGGCCTCCACCCCCCCCCCCCTCCCTCCCCCCCCCCCCCCACCGTCAATAACGCTGCGATTCGCAACAGATTAACAACGCTTGGGGCGGGACCTCCTCTCACTGAAAGGAGGAACGGTGATTGGGATGGCAGGCACGAGAGTGAATGGAGGCACCTGAGAGGATGGCCACTGTGCAAGGTGGAACAATGACATCAATTAGCTCAAGCGCAGCACCGAGATAGGTTGGCGAAGCTGGAAGGGATGATGGCGTTATTGACAGACGCGTTGAGTGGTTTTTGACATGCGTGCTTCCGCATCGCAGCCAGCGCACCCACACCGAACGCGATTTTGTCCGCGTACGTTCATTTGGCGCACGGCAAATAACCGGCCCAGTGGGTACGTTCATCGCCTCTCTTTTGCGAAGCTACTCAAAACTCTCCGACGTGCGTTCCCGTTGCGCCGCGCGTTGTTTGGGACGATGTCCAAAGTTTCGTTCCGCGCGCTGCTCGCAAAACCTCTTCAGGAAGAGAGCTGCACGGCATGGCCATGAAGCCCTATGCATTGGTACCAACTACAGCCCTCCGTCCGGGCCACTCACACGCACCGTGGGACACCCACCAGGGCACGGGCTTAGCGGTGCCGGCCAGCCTCTGCAGGGCACGAATGCGCTCTGCCTGGAGCTGAAAGAGGGACTTCCCCGAGGGCAGTCCCACCGACACCATGCCCTTGGGGCACGACATGCCGAGACGCGTGCCCTGCCCTCCGGCCAGCAGCAGCACTGCCATCCGCCCCTCGGCGATCTGCTCCAGGCCTAGGGCAGCGCACAACAACCCACAGCGTCTGCAACTACGCCAAACACAACGGCAGCAACGACAGTTGCCAATCGCCACCGGGTAGCGGTGGTGTCACTCACCGTGGCGGGAGCCCTCGTGAACAAGAATGCGCGTGTATGAAGCAAACCGCATCCCGCCGTCCGCTTCACGGTGGACATTAAGGTTCCCGCGACGTCATTCGAAAGAGAGTAGGCGTCGTGTGCCGGTGTCACGGTCCACATTTTAGCAACGACATCCCCGCAAACGACTGAATCGAGGAAAAGCACATCGCCCCCTGTAGACAGGCTGCACCTGTCTGTGAAACGTAGCACACTTGTCATGATAGCCATGTACGATTACCAAATGTATTATTGTTAATATGTCTGTGCTAAGAGACATTTTGGGCGGGTGGGGGTGCGGGCGAGGCGGGACGCCGTGGGGGGGGGGGGGGCACGGGGGTAGCGGGGGTTGAGGCCGGGTGCAGGGTGAGAGGGTGGCGTGGGGGCGGGGCGCAGGGTGGTGGGGCGGGGCTATGCGAGCCGAACCAGCACGGCTGGGCGCTCACCCTGCTTTTCCCACTGGCTGAGCAGGCTGGCGGGGGAGCGCGCCATGCTGCCAAACGCGTCCTCCGGCACCGGCTTCACGTCCTCCGGAGCCTCGGGCTGTGCAGGGGTCAGGGGTCACCCAGGAACCGCGTGGGGCACGGTACATACACACACACACACACCGTAACAGTGGGCTCCATGGTGGCGAGATGTTAACTACCTCGCCTGGTACGTAGGAGTTCATGGGTTCGATCTTTACCCTGACGCCTGCTGTGTATTTGTAGTTTGCGTGTTCTCTCTCTCTCCCCCTAGTCGCGTGGATTTTCTTCGGGTCCTCCGATTTCCACATTTAGAATCAACATGCGTTTAGAGTATTTGGCTGCTATAATTAATAACGCCACTTCGTTGAGCTATCATTTGTGCCCAGGTCACTTCTGAAAAACAACTATACAGCTCAGTGGGCCCTAGCTGGTAAAATTAAATAAAATTGTTTAATAGTTTTAAAACAGGGGTCAAAAAGTCACCATCGCTGCCCGCCTGCAACTACATACGTGCAGGCAGAACTTTGTAAATCCACTGCTGGATGACCGCCTTCCCACACAGTGCGAGTCGTGGGGCATTTAACCGAAGGATGTACTTCACCGCGCTCGTAATTGTGTGCGTTGGTGAAGGTGGGGAGCACAGACGTTAGAGCATAGAAGTCCAATACAACAGTGAATGTTGCTGTACTGCCCTCTGCTGCCCGCTTTGTAACCATGTGTGATGGTCGCCCATCCAAGCACTATCATTAGCCTCACCCATGCTTAGCTTCCGAGGTTTTGATGCGATTGGGCGCATTCTCAAAGATTTGGTCGAAGGCCAATTTTGTGTTTATTTCCCCTCTTAATTGTTCTGGAAATCGTCACTGAAATGTGTTGCGTTGGGGACACTCGAGTAATTTGTGCGTTGAAGCGTACATAGGTCCAGGGGGCTGGGTCTACTCACAGCCACAGAGGCTCGCATCCCCAAACCGAAACGCATTGCAACATATTCTTCATTTTCACGTTTGCAGCAAGAAGTATGACGTTGACCTCTTGCCTCTGCCATGTCCACCTTAGTTGCAAAGTGACAATGACCGCGATGTTATGGAGATAGCAATAATGATGACAGAGATGATGATGATGTGAATGTTGACAATTATAACGTCGACGATGCTACGATGACTTTGACGATGCACGCACAGGACGAGTAAATGCTTCGGCAAAGAAGAGCCCCTTATAACAACTTCTCATCTCAACTATTCCGATACCCTGCTGCCATCTAGCCTAGGAGATCCCCAGTGGGCGCGATCCATGTGTGGCTCAATAGGTACGCAGCTGCGATGATGATGAAGGCATTTATCATCTTAATAATAACGATAAGGAACAATGATAACAACGAATGATGGCGACGACGATGATGATGATACAGTAATGACAGCTATGCACGATGACAACTTCGGTGATGATGTGGCGGGTCTCACCTGCCCACGTTGCATCGCCCGGTAGGATCGCCCCACCTCCTCGGGGTCGGTGTCCTTCAGCTGGGAGAGCAGAGTGTCGCGCTGACCCTGGGACAGCTGCTCCCAGAAGCGGAACACGTGGCCCTGGCCGGCCGCCTCGTAGCGCGCACGCTGCTCGTCCACGTTCGCCGACATGGTTGTCTCTCTCTGTGCGGCACGGACACAGAAATGGCAACACCGAGCATTCAGCCCTGGACACCGTGGGGCGCACGAGCGATGTGCACGTGTGTTCATCGCTGGGGCTTGAAAGCCCGGCAAAGGCACGCGGCGACGTGGTCGCAGCGGAGGCAGCGTTATGCACGCTCGGCCGTTTTCATCTCCTCAATGGTGATCTTCATGACCATCTCCTCCTTTCGTACGGTGTTTGAAGAAAATTCAACAGGCTACACAATGGTGTTATTAATGTTGTGAGCCATTCCGCAGCATCCAGAGTGGTAGATGAGGGGTGTCTGCTTGATCCACCAGAGTTCGCTTGGTTGTGTTGGGCAGTCACCGGTGACATGCCTGATGGTTTGAAGTTTTCGTGACTGCAGGGATCCATACTCTTTGGTTCTTTCGGTAAAGTCACGTAGGTATAAAATGTTATACCTACGTGATGATGACGACAACGGTGATGATACAGTAATGACAGCTATGCACGATGACAACTTTTACCGAAAGAACCAAAGAGTTTGCCTGATAGTTTGCATCTCAATGTTTTCGCAATAATGATGATGGCATTGACAAAGATGACAATAACGGATGATGATAGAGTTCATGACCATGCCACAACACCATTTATTACTCCACTATTTAAGGAACGAAACAGGAGAACTTCTCCACAAATCTGGCTGTCGCCTGATGACGCTATTTGTAATTACTGGCAAAACGTCGTACTCATATTGTAAATGTTGTGGCTTGGCTCTCCAACACACAGGTGTGCTGTATAACTAATTGGCATGTTCTGTTTACATGACAAACCTTATTAATTTTCTGTGTCGGGTGGTGGTAGGTTTAACGACACGTTCATATATTTATGCGATCTAATAAAAAAAAAAAACTGTATTATGAATTTCAGGATGGTTTAATAGTTTATTGGATCCAGGGCTTAGATCTAAACATTAGCCTAAGTGTAAAAATTAGTCTGAAATGTAAATCTTTTGACTTGTCTTGATTTAATCACTTGGGGACACTACTGATGGGTTGGTACAGGCCGGCAGCCCACTTATGGCTAACTTCCAAGTGTATGTCTGCTTGTGCCGAAAGAGTAGTAATTCACGATCTTCTAGCCTAACCACTTACGGGAGTGCGATTCCTCATTTCAGACAATCTTCTATAGACCAGTGGTTCCCACAACGTTGCTGGACCAGTGGATCACCGTCAACCATAAACTAAATTTCGCGGTACAATATTTGTTGCTTTGTGACCGTAACTCGTATCTACAACAGTTCCACGGGCAACTTCCTACAGCCTTGCGGCCCGATGGGTTGGAAATCGCTGTTCTAGACTATCTGCTTCTTGTTTGAAGTCATCGAGCCATATGTTTCTTAAGATGTCCTCTAGTCCTTGGACTCCACTGTTGTTGACATAGAGGGCGATGTTATGAAATCTCTCTTTGTCCACCCTGCGCGCTTGACGTAACATAATGAATCGTCCCCTTCGGATGACGTCTACGATGTCCCTTTCTATTCTGAGCTCATGTTTAATCCTCCCTTGACATTATTCCAAAATCTGACGGTAATCCTTAATCTTGCCGTAGCATTAAATCTAACGTTAGCCTACAAGCTCAACTCTAAACTTTCAACTGACCTTGACCTCCAGGTGTCATGCAATGAGGTCACAGCAGGTTTAACCAGGATGCCGAGACATGTTGTGACAAAAACAACCCACCCTGGCGCAATGTGTTCAGAATACAGTACCGCCACTTCACACGTCGTCTGCCTCGCTGGGGCAGCTCAACACGTAGGCACAACATGCCATGGCTTGCCACATCATTGTCTTCCTGCCAACGTGTTACGAAGCTGGATCCTTGGTTTTTTTTTATTACCCAACCTCCTGAAATTGTGTTTATTTTGAAAATTGTAATGGGCTCAGTTTTAATGTGGTTCGAATAAACGGAGAAGTCGTGCCACAGGGCGGGAGGCAGAGAGAGAGAGAGAATGGAAGTGTTTAATGCAGAGGATGGGTGATTTAGAGAGAATGGCAGTGTTTAATGGTGAGGATGGGTGATTTAGAGAGAATGGAAGTGTTTAATGGTGAGGATGGGTGATTTAGAGAGAATGGCAGTGTTTAATGGTGAGGATGGGTGATTTAGAGAGAATGGAAGTGTTTAATGGTGAGGATGGGTGATTTAGAGAGAATGGCAGTGTTTAATGGTGAGGATGGGTGATTTAGAGAGAATGGCAGTGTTTAATGGTGAGGATGGGTGATTTAGAGAGAATGGAAGTGTTTAATGGTGAGGATGGGTGATTTAGAGAGAATGGCAGTGTTTAATGGTGAGGATGGGTGATTTAGAGAGAATGGCAGTGTTTAATGGTGAGGATGGGTGATTTAGAGAGAATGGAAGTGTTTAATGGTGAGGATGGGTGATTTAGAGAGAATGGAAGTGTTTAATGGTTAGGATGGGTGATTTAGAGAGAATGGAAGTGTTTAATTATGATGGGTGATAGAGAATGGAAGTGTTTAATGGTGATGATGGGTGATTTAGAGAGAATGGAAGTGTCTAATTATGATGGGTGATAGAGAATGGAAGTGTTTAATGGTGAGGATGGGTAATAGAGAATGGCAGTGTTTAATTATGAGGATGGGTGATTGAGAGAGAATGGCAGTGATTATTGATGATATACATCATAATTAGTATGATGCTTCTTTAACACGTAGACTTGTTTACCCAGGAATGGCTCACGGAGTCTCACGACTCGATTCTAGGGAGGTGTTGCCAAATATTCACGTTATGGGGGGGCGACGATTGTTCGTGCATCATCCCAATTTAGTACATTTTGCAGGTAATTTTGTTGAAATTTGCCTTATTTGATGATGATGTACGGTAGCTCAAGTTTTATTGTGTTCATCTTGTTTAACCAGGTGAGAAATCACGAAAGCAGTGAGGGGAGTGGCAGTATATTCTTGGTTCTTTCGGTAAAGTCACGTAGAAGGGAAACAATAAAATAATAAAAATATAAAACAGTGGTTAGTGATGAGTGGCAGTGTTTAGTGATGACGATGAAGGGAGCTGTTGGTTGATGACGCCGTGAGACAGGGAGCCAGGGAGTGGGAGTGTCGTGCTGTGTCTGTGATGAAGGCAGAGAGAGAGGGGGTGTCGTGCTGTCTGTGATGAAGGCAGAGAGAGAGAGGAGGTGTTGTGCTGTGTCTGTGATGAAGGCAGAGAGAGAGAGGAGGTGTCGTGCTGTGTCTGTGATGAAGGCAGAGAGAGAGGGGGTGCCATGCTGTGTCTGTGATGAAGACAAAGAGAGACAGGGGGAGTGTCCTGCTGTGTCTGTGATGAAGACAGAGAGAGACAGGGGGGGGGGGGGGGGGGGGTGCCGTGCTGTGTCTGTGATGAAGGCAGAGAGAGGGAGGGGGGGTGTCGTGCTGTGTCTGTGATGAAGGCAGAGAGACAGGGGGTGTCGTGCTGTGTCTGTGATGAAGACAGAGAGAGGGGGGGGGAGTGTCGTGCTGTGTCTGTGATGAAGGCAGAGAGACAGGTGTCCTGCTGTGTCTGTGATGAAGACAGAGAGAGAGGTGTCCTGCTGTGTCTCTGATGAAGACAGAGAGACAGGGGGTGTCGTGCTGTGTCTGTGATGAAGGCAGAGAGAGAGGAGGTGCCGTGCTGTGTCTGTGATGAAGACAGAGAGAGAGGTGTCGTGCTGTCTATGATGAAGGCAGAGAGAGAGAGAGGTGTCGTGCTGTCTGTGATGAAGGCAGAGAGAGAGACAGGGGGGTGTCGTGGTGTGTCTGTGATGAAGGCAGAGAGAGAGGAGGTGTCGTGCTGTGTCTGTGATGAAGGCAGAGAGAGACAGGGGGGGGGGGGGGGGGTGTCGTGCTGTGTCTGTGATGAAGGCAGGGAGAGACAGGGGGGGGGGGGGTGTCGTGCTGTGTCTGTGATGAAGGCAGAGACAGGGGGGGGGGGGGTGTCGTGCTGTGTCTGTGATGAAGACAGAGACAGGGGGGGGTGTCGTGCTGTGTCTGTGATGAAGACAGAGACAGGGGGGGGTGTCGTGCTGTGTCTGTGATGAAGACAGAGACAGGGGGGTGTCGTGTTGTGTCTGTGATGAAGGCAGAGAGAGAGGGGGGGGGTGTCGTGCTGTGTCTGTGATGAAGGCAGGGAGAGAGGAGGTGTCGTGCTGTGTCTGTGATGAAGGCAGAGAGAGAGGGGGGGATTGTCCTGCTGTGTCTGTGATGAAGGCAGGGAGAGACAGGAGGTGCCGTGCTGTGTCTGTGATGAAGACAGAGACAGGGGGGGGGGGGGGGTGTCGTGCTGTGTCTGTGATGAAGGCAGAGAGACAGGGGGGGTGTCCTGCTGTGTCTGTGATGAAGGCAGAGAGAGAGGGGGGGAGTGTCCTGCTGTGTCTGTGATGAAGACAGAGAGAGGTGTCCTGCTGTGTCTGTGATGAAGACAGAGACAGGGGGGTGTCGTGCTGTGTCTGTGATGAAGGCAGAGAGCGAGGGGGGTGTCGTGCTGTGTCTGTGATGAAGACAGGGAGAGAGGTGTGTGTCGTGCTGTGTCTGTGATGAAGGCAGAGAGAGACAGGAGGTGTCGTGCTGTGTCTGTGATGAAGGCAGAGAGACGGGGGGGGGGGGGGGGGGTGGGTGTTGTGCTGTCTGTGATGAAGGCAGAGAGAGGGGATACACCGACTGGGAACTTCACTGACGTGGCAGACACGCGATTCTTAGGGTTCACACTGAACATAGCTAATTGGCAATATGCGGGGGGGGACCTCATGGGGTAACATATTGTATAGGGTGGTCCAGATGTATTGTAACCCCCCACCCATTTAATTGTCTAAAACATATAGTTTTAAACCAAGGTTTATTTAAAACAGAATTGAATATGCTAATTATTTTTTTGTCAGGGGTCAATTAACTGGGGGTCACAAGACATCTGGACCATATTATACAGCACTTGTATAACAATTAGATACATTAATGGGTCTCAGACAACGCAATAGCATCGGTGCAAGCGAGCACCGTGCAAAACGGGGTCTTATAGGCTCCTGCGGGGAATAACGTCGCAGAGAGCAGTGAAGGCAAAATCCATTGTCGTCCCATCTTGTACCGTACGCGTCTATGCTCCCCGGGAGCACTCACCAACCCGCACTGACCAGCGCGGTGAAGTATGGTCAAAACTACCGAAACGGCGCGTTGAGTAGGGTGCCATCCAGCAGTAGGTTGAGTTTCAGCTGCGTGTAAATGTCAACAAATTCACGCCGCTCAAAAGCTTTAGTATCTTAAACCCGCAAGAGCAGTCCCCCTGCTCTAGACAAGACTGGCTCCCGCCATGGAAATGTAGAATTTCCACCACTGCAGGCTAAGCTCCGCCAGTGGAGATGAGAGCTCACCCCAACGCTCGTTGAAGCACACATTAACCACTGTGACACCCGACCACCACCACCACCAATTAGAGTAATAAATATTATCATTCAGACTTGTATTGCGCCCTTACTCAAAAGGATTACGGCTGCGCGTTGTACACGGGATTCGCAAGAGAACGCATTGACCATAGAAACCTCATGTTATTAACACTCAACAAGCACCATCACTCATACATCGGCCATCACCATCGCCATCACACAGCAACCAACATCACTATCACACATGATTACTACCGCCATCAAACATCAACCAACTTCACACATCACTACTACCACGACCAGCACGCATCAACCACCACCACCACCACAACACGTCACTACCGCCACCAACACCACCACCAAACATCAACTACCATCATGCACCAACTAACATCACTGTCACATCACTATTACCACCAGCACCACACATCAACCACCATTATACACCAACTAACATCACTATCACATCACTATTACCACCAGCACCACACATCAAACACCATCATACATCGACCACCACCATCGCCACACATCACAACCACCACCACCACTATCACATCAACCACCATCATTATTACATATCAACCAACATCACTATGACACATGAACCACCACCACCCACCTACTGACTCAATGAACAACGCAGCGACGCTCTTCAAATGTTGCTTCGACACCCGGGGATGGATCGCCGGTCTTTTCGCTCGCCGTGGTTTCGTGGAGCGTTCAATGACTCAGGGGGAACGAATGACTCGTTAGTGAACACCCCACACACAAACACACACCCACATGTACACACACACACCCACATGTACACACACACCCACATGTGCATACACACAGACACACACACTCACGCGCGTGCACTGAGTAACTCACACTCGGCGCGTCTCGCCCAAACGTGACACGTGTGGCCCGAAACCGCCCACTGCCAAAACGCTGGACCCCAAAGGTTAAATCAATTGCGAAGTGCGTGACGCTGGGCTGGGGCAGTGTTGCCAACTCCTTAAAAGCGTTGTGCAAATTCGCATAGTCACTCGACGTCGTTAAATGGACATTCTACAAAGCGTGTACAGGCCTACACAAGTACTCAACATGCACTGTCGTTAATTCGACACAGGTCCAGATCAGTGGTTCTCATTCACCTTTACCGCAGCCTTGCATCCCTTTTGTTCTGAATCGTAATTTTGTTTTTATAATGTTAATACGGACATGGGTTTGATGAAGCAAAGTAGTTGTACTTACGTGCCCGTGCTTAATGTGTTTCGATGATCATCATTAGACCTCCTTTGCCAGTAGCAAAATGTAATAATAGGGTTTTCCCCTTTTTTCCCGGCAACAAAACTGAAACCTTTTTTTTTTACAAGGATTCATGTCTGCATTAACCACAATACCTGCAGTCAAAATGCAAACAAAAAACATACTATGATAATATATGCATTGTCCTTGAAACTGATTGGTCCACACCAAGGGACGGCTTTCTTTTGAGGTTTCAGTTTTGTTGCCAGAAAAAGGGGAAAAACCCTATTATTACATTTTGGTACTGGCAAAGCAGGTCTAATGATGTAGATGCTCACCCTGAGCCCTCATTACTTTGATAGTGCATTGTCTTTGAGCTGTACGCCTTTCGGCGTCATCTGGTCGAGCACCAATTGGGTCGAGGCTCAAAAGAAAGCCGTCCCTTGGTGTGGACCAATCAGTTTCTGGGACAATGCATCATCATATATTATCATAGTATGTTTTTTGTTTGCATTTTGACTGCAGGTATTGTGGTTAATGCAGACATGAATCCTTGTAAAAAAAGGTTTCAGTTTTGTTGCCAGAAAAAAAAGGGGAAAACCCCTATTATTATGTGTTTCGATGATTTAAATTCTAAAAAAATCTGGCTATGTCTCGCACCCCCAGAAAGGGCATGTCGCACCCCCTGGAGGTGCGTGCATCCCAGGTTAAGAACCACTGCTCTATATGTAGAACACATCGATACCACTGTGCATGTGGCCTTAAAAGCTAAAATATATAATTGGTGACGTTCCGTGCACTGGCCCTTCTTCATAGCAGATAAATGAAGGCAATTTCCTTCGTATTTTTACTTTGTAAGGCCAGTGTTGTTGATACATCTGTGAAGGTATTTTGTGTTATTTGTGCTTATGCACAACTGCCGACGCAGCAGTAATTTGGATTCAAGTCAAATTTACAGAATGGACATCAAGAAGGGAAAAACAAAATCAACATTCCACCACACATAGAGGGATCATCGAATTTCAAATCCACGAGCGTTTAGTATCTACAAGTGAGCTCTACAATGTCAAGGAGCCCTTCACATCCGGGATCGTGACCGCGCGTATATTTTTGTCGCCGGAAAATCTGCACGCAGCATACATATTCGTCGGTCATTCCACTGAATAGACTATGACCCAATCAATCACCCGTAATGCACCCTATCAGATCTGGGAATCTAAGCAGATTTTAGCCTGTATCATGCTTGGATGTCACGCCAGGTTGTCAGAGGAGGTTGCAGAGTCGTGCCACGTGGGGGGCAGTAGAGGGCTCTGCAACGCAATCCGTGGCTGCGCTGTACTTCTATACTCCCACGTCTATGCTCTACCACGTTCACAAATCTGCACTGACCAGTGTGTTGAAGTATGGTTCGATAACCCCCATGACGACTTCTAAATCCGCATGGCGTCAGTCCATCAGTGGACTGACGACAGGGGGCTGTGAATGTTATTGCTGTGATTTGCCAAACCTTACATATTCTCACGCCACGCATTGGCAGGATTGGCCACGTACGATACAAGTTCAACATACATACAAAGACGCATATCGTTCACACATACGCGGGGAATTTGTTGGGACGTCAGTTTTGAATGTGACTCGGGAATTAAACTGACGTTTTATGGGAAATTTACGCCATTCGTCAGAACCACAATGTAAAACAAACTAAAATAATGATCGATTATTGACTCAAATCGTGACGCTGAAACGGAACGATTCATTGAATCGTCAGGCCGTGAATAAATTAACCCCAACTGATCACGACTTCATCCCTTTGTTAATCTATTGCTGTTTATTCCATTTTTTATGTTGCTTGGTAATAAGGTTTACATTTGCTTGGTAGTAGTGGATGTATGTGGGATTTGGTCCTTATATATAATTAACGTACAGCGTTATGGGATGCTATTAGCGTGAATGACGCTTTATAAAATTAAAGTATTATTACTCCTTGATGAAGCACCATTTAACCATACTTCACCACGCGGGTCAGTGCGGATTGAATGGGTCAGGCACCCTATGTTTGAGATGATCACTTGCCACGGTGCTAATATTAACAAGCAATGCATAAGAAAATGCCAGGGTTAAATCCTTGCCTTCAGTCAACGTGTAAAGTTATTATAAATATTAGCAGAGCACACACCACATAACCATATAATGTGCTGCTTCTTGTTTCATATGGCTGATGTAGATGCAGTGACATCTACAATTTCATATTCAGGTGGTCAAGCCAGACAACCGCGTCAAGAGCAGCTGAGTGTTTCATCGCTGTGATGTCTCTTTCGTATTTGTGGATCGGCCATTGCGTCGTTATATATTGTACGATCTGTTCTGGATGACCACAGTCAGACGCTGAAGAGATTTCCAATTTCCATTTGTGCATCAGCTATCCGCATCTGCTATGGTTTGTGCAGTGGATGCGATTTAGTGTGGACTATGAGCTTCACAGATGATCAAACCCAGGGATCTTCTGCGTTGGGTCTTTCACAAGGTGGTGCTTTTTTAATTTAAAGCTTTCGTGACTGCAGGGATTCATATTTTTGGTTCTTTTGGTAAAGTCACGTAGAAGGGAAACAATACAATAATTTGATTGGTTTATATATTTATTATTTTATTGTTTCCCTTCTACGTGACTTTACCGAAAGAACCAAGAATATAAAGTGGTGCTTGTTTGTGAGTTCGATTGAACTCCATTCAGCTCTCCAGGCTTCGTCGGAGTTGAATTCGCGTTGTTGAAGGTTAAGCGCATTGGTCCTAAAGGGGCTTGGCGTGGCTGCAAGTGATGACGAGGGACGTTAAGGTCCTGGGGAATAGAAAAGCGACTATTTTCTTCGATTCTGCAGCGTTGTGGGCAGATGGGTGGGTGGGGGGAGAGATGTGTGACAGCACGGGCAACCAGGGTGTTGGGGTCGATTTGAGGTGTTACAGATCAAATGCATTACTGTATATACACGACCGGAGCTGGAGTGCGGAACTTCCCGTATTGCGTTATGAAGACGACTATTGTGACACTTTATTTCTGCCCACGGCTAAATCAGTGGTGCCAAGGATATATCTGAAGCAGTCCTGAGCGCCTCTTCGCCACCAAACCAACGTGGTGCGGTATGGCGAGGCACCCACCATGACTGACAGAATGGGGCGGGGAGAGGCATTTAGCCAGCAGTGGATTGACAAAGGTGGCGTAGATTAAAACTGAAAAGTCACTTCAGAGTAGCACATCATCGTGTTTCCCTGCTCAAACAAACTTTGGGGTGGCACTCAACTTTAAAAGTGCACCCAAGGCAGCGGTGGAAATTCGATATTACCATGGCACGGCCAGTTTGTCCATAGATTGACCACTATTGATGTTCTACTCAGCGGTACATATTTTACTCACCCCAGAGGGATGATGGGCTACCTAATCACCGTGTGTGTGGGCAGTGATGTCGAACCATTGCCTGCAAATACTTTAGTACTTTAAAATTAACAGTTTCAGAGTGGAACTCTCTATAATAGTTTTTAACTGTTCAATGATTTTCATTTTACAAATGACTGTCTACGTATTTAACATACTCCATAATAAGTGGTTAAGTAGCTTTGGCCTGGTGTTCCAGTTACCTGTGTAATGTAGCTCTCAGAGACACCGTCTTGTTCTTTATGTATATTTATTATGAATAAAGTCCGCTGACAACTTAATGAGTAAGGGGCCGTCCATAAATGACGTCACGCACCTGGTGGGGGGGGGGGGGGGGCAGACATTTGTGACGATGTGCGACGAGGGAGGGGGGGTTGAGAAATGTGACGTCACGTCAAAATGCGCAACTTTAAATAAATATAGACAACACGTTCTACTTAATTAAATAGACGTTTTAATTAATGGTTTCTCCTACATCAGCGCAGCGCCACATTAAAGACACACTACAATAACAATAGTTTAAAGCGATTTGAAGCATGTTTTATTTTTTTTGGGGGGGGGGGGGAGAGCTTTGTGACGTCATATTTGAGGGAGGTCTGACTTTTTGTGACGCCGTGTGACGAGGGGGGGGGGGGTCAAAAATCACATGACGTAATTTATGAACGGCCCCCAACCGCGAGTGACTATATACACTTGGGTAATTTAGATGACCCTATTCTGAGACAATGCAACTCTAGCCTCAAGACAACTCGACGACGATGGAGACGACTCGCTCCAAGACGACAATGGCGACGAATCCTCCACTACAACAACCCCCAGATCCGATCCGCGCCGGCTCTTATCCCTTGCACGACCTGGCCACGCCCCTATTCCCGAACTCTCGCTCGCCACACCTGGCCCTGTCTCTCTCTGCCCTTATTACCATTTACGCCCGTTGGGTCCCGTACTTCCACTCACGTGACCCTGTCAACGCTTGGCCCATCAATCATTATTAACAACCACTTAGGTCCCACATTACCCTAACATTACCCTGTCTGTTCCCGTTACGATCATTAGTAACCATGCTCCCGGGGAGCTGTACTGTCCCTCTATCACCCCGTACTGTCCTTACACCTGCATAGGCATGCCATCTCTGTGATCTCACTTGTCTCATGTGTCCCCTGTCATATGAATGTGGAATTTCCACCACGGGCTTAAAACCAAAAATGTAGATTATAAATGGCCAAACAGCTATTTGTTTGGAAAAATGTTGACTTTTGACGAATAGTATTTCTACATTACAGCGCCACT